TGCAGCTTCTTTGAGGTTCCCAGAGGTAATATTTTTAGGTAATAAAATGTTAAAAAGTTAACATTTTTAGTTGGATCTAAGCTCATATGGATTTTGGCATTTATTCCCAACATTAAATAGGAAGGAGAAATGGAAGTTTATAAAACACCCGTATTCCTCCAAATAAATAAATAGAGGATCCCCTCACTGTCCCTGACCCCACCCTGGGAACTATTAACGGCAGGTTATTCTGTGATTAAATTCACACGACGCCACAGCCCACTCGCTGCCGTGATGAAAGCACCATACCACTGTGCTGGGTTTCTATTTAGTCCCAAAGCTGGGTCATCAGAAATAGCAGAGCAAGATTGTTCTATTTTAATCAAAATTTAGTACATTCTTTAGGAAATCATATCTCAAGGTGATGTAATTCTGTCCTGGAGAAAAGGGAAACATTTTTAAAAGGTTGCTGAAAATGATAGAATTCCTGACTATAAGGCAGGTGGGCTGAATAAGACAAGGTCCTGTCTTGTAAACCCAGGTGAAATGCCGCATTAAAAATCAACACTTTCCTCATCTCCACAGCTCTTGTCATTAGCACCCTTTACACTCACGTCCTCAATCTCTACTGTGCACCAGCATCATTCAGGCAGTCAAGAGCCTGCATCCCATTCTAGGGCCCTCCCAGATGCTCCCTGAGAGCTTTTACCTCTCCAGTCCCTCCGTGGGGATACCACATCAGTGCCCTTCTAACAATGACTACCTTTTACGAGTGTCTGCCATGTGCCAGGCACTGTGCTAGGCATTTTATGTACATAATTCCACTCAACCTTCACAAGCCACTGAGGCAGCAGTGAACTCCTTTTACACTGATTCAGAAGCTCAGGATGGCGAGTGGCTTCCTTAAGGGGTCCAGTCACGTTTTGAACTCAGGTCTGCCCAACTCCAAGGCCAGTGCTGTTAACCTCCCCTACATTCCATGTTTTCCATTGGACTCAGGGAAAACACGGTCTCACATGCATGTGAGGTGGAGCTCCCATGCAAAGACCACCAGGAAACAAGAGAACCGGGGGTCTGGCCTGGCGTCCAGCAACTGGACAAATGGCAGCTCTTTTTAAAGGCAAACTTTCGTTATCAGTCCAAGTCTTAGCAGCAGACCCCAAAACAGGCACTTTCTCTGGCTCAACATACAAAGATGGCTTTACCTGCTCCAGGAAGAAAGGCTGAGGCGTGTTTGTCTAGAATACAGACATCATCACTCATAACAGCAATGATGACACAGCCGCCAGCATTTGCTGAGCACTCCGGATGTTCCAGGCACTATTCTAAGTGCTTTACTCAGATGACCTCATCATACCCTCATGGCAGTGCTGTGAGACAGGAACTATTATTATCCCCATTTGTGTAGATGAGAAGGCTGAGGCCCTGATTGTACTTGATTGCGAAGAGGTAGGATGACCTGAGTGCAAGACACATTCACTGCCTGTTGAGATCACCTGTGACCACCGCGTACCTTGCCTTTGCGTGTGGATTTCCTGTGGAGTGCCCCTCTCATACCCCTAGCTCAGGATAGTCACGAGGGCCGTTCTTATCAAACAGATGAGAAAACAGAGGTCTAGAGCAGGTAAAGCGGCCCCTGGGGCTTTGGTGAGGATCTGTTTTCTAAGCTACCAGGTATCAGCTTTGTAATCAACTGCTAAAGACAGACTTCTGCACAGGGGGTTGAGGTGGAGTCCTGTAGACCTAAGGCAAACACAGGAGATAGAATATAGATCTTTGGAGCCATCAAAAATACTGTGAGCCCTTTAGAAACCTATTCTTCGAAAAAATATTCAAGCCTTCAAAAAGGTTATCCAAACTTGCAAGAATATTTAACATGAAGCTCAGATGCACATGATGATAAAGAAACGTGGTGACTGTTGAGTCATCCCAACTAGTCCTCTGCACTAAACACAGGTCTGAGGCTCTGCAATCCTGGGCTACAAGTACAGGTGTTGCTTATATTGTAGCCCTCCCATGGCAGGGCTAACCTCTGGCCTCATGCTGTTCCCCTCTCCCATGTTTTCATTCTGATTATTGAATTTCTAGGTGCATTAAAAAATGATAATTTGGCTCCAGCTGCCGAATAGGAGGTTGTTTTGGTCAGAGAGACACCTGGTGGCTTTTGAGATAAACCACACCATTCTGCCAAAAGACACCTTTCTTGCCCATGTAAGGGGACCAAGGGATGCGGAGGAAGCACAGATTCTCCTAAGGAAAGCACCAGCATTCACCTTTGAGAGAAGGAGGGAGCTTTCCAAAGGGAGCATAACAGATTATAGGCTTTAGTGCCAGTGCCAAATGGATTTGAACACCCCTGCTGTGTCTTGGACAGTTAGCTGAACAACCTGAGTCTTGGTCCCGTCTGTGGAAATGGGACAGTTATGCAAATAGCTCTTAGTACCATTGTGAGGGCCAGACAGGCAAGATGAGTGACAGAACCTGCCCAGACTCCCAGCCCTCAGCAGCCTGGAGGTATCTGAGCATTGTGTGTCCCCTGACCTTACCAGGAGGACCTGGATTCACTCTCAACATGTCTCTCTGAGGCCACTGCTCACCTGTCTCAGATGGCTGACACTTGGTTAGGTGTTGGTTAACGAAGAGCAGGAAGGCTTTGCTCCCTCCGTGTCCCAATACAGTCCATCCACAAAGGACATCGCTCCATGAAATTATGTTCATGGGCTTTCCTTTTGGGGCTGGGGAGGGAGTATTAGCCCTTTCCCCCCACGTTCTCCATTTCTATATCCTTAATTTTTTGCTATGAGCAGTTATTATGTTTATATTGAGAACAATTACTAGCCATCTCCATTTCAAAGGGCAAGAATGTTAAATTTCCATCAATTCTTTTCATTTTAGCCCTTGGATGGTTTTACATCTCTGTTTATTCATCTTCTTGAATAAAGGAGATTCTGGATTTCAAAGCATTACTTAGCATTCTTATATTCTATCCTGTAATTTCAACCACTGTCATTGTCTTCACACAAAGAAAAACAGCAAAGTAGACATCTCTCTCTGGAATGAAAACCTGGACAACAGTGTTTACATGCCTGCCCAAGGTGAGTTTGAAAATGAGGAAATAGAGCTCTTTCATTCCTCCCAGCTCCACAATACTTTCCAATTCCAAATCAGCTTCCTCACACATCAAGGTAATCTGCAAAGGGAAACTGAGAGTCAGCATGAGTGGTTGCTTAAAGTATTTCTTTGCACATATGTTCCTTAAAAAAAAAAAAAAAAAAAAACAAAGATGCAATTAAGAAAAATGTATGCAGGCTGGGCACGGTGGCTCTCACCTGTAATCCCAGCACTTTCGGAGGCTGAGGTGGGCAAGTCAACAGGTCAAGAGATCGAGACCATCCTGGCCAACATGGTGAAAACCTGTTTTCTACTAAAAATACAAAAATTAGCTGGGCGTGGTGACGTGTGCCAGTAATCCCAGCTTCTTGGGAGGCTGAGGCAGGACAATTGCTTGAACCCCGGAGGCGGAGGTTGCAGTGAGCCAAGATCCTGCCACTGTACTCCAGCCTGGTGACAGAGCAAAACTCCATCTCAAAAAAAAGAAAAAAAAAAGTATGCAAATAAAAAATGTCTAACTCAATTGTATACACATTAGGAAATTTACCTACGAAAACTGTCATAATTTTCTTAGAGCTAAAAAAAGTCCTTCTGCAATTCAAATAATCTCTAATTACACTATTTGATTGCCTGATTTTGGTCTATGCTGGTTTTATAAAAAATAAAAGCCACCTTTATTAATCTTGACTCCTTGGTAATCTAGCAAAATAATTTGAGAATCTATTTTCTAACATGTCAATTTCCAGATGTCATTTTTGGAAAAAGATGAAAATTATTGCATTTGTTTATTAAAAAGGTAATCCCATCACAATTCTTCACTAAGGTCTTAAAGACTAAAAGTTAATAGAGATGCTGTGATTTATTCTGCCTGAGGAATATATCAGGAAAATGTGCTGAAGATTTAGAAAGTATCTATCTTCTAAAAAAGTGAGATCTCTTCCTAAGGTGGTATCAATCCACACTTTTCACAGTGGGACATACACAAACATGAAATTTCTGTACCCAGGCATCTGGAAAAACAGGCACTCGTGGCATGAAGTTCTCCAGGGTGTGCTGGAGGGCAGGGCTGGCCATCTAGCTATGAAGTCACATTGAGCCACAAGATATCACCTCAATAATTCTACAGAGAAGTGTCAGTACCAAGATGTGGATATGAGGGGGGAACCTTGAAATGTGATAAAGGACTACACCACCAGCATGTCTCTGGAACCTACAATCAGGCAAGGTTCTAAAGTAGGTAGTTTGTGCCAGGGGAGACTTCACAATGTCTATTTCCCTTTGGAGGAAGGCGAGCACATGTCCCAGTTTGCCTAGATAGTCCCAGTTTAGGCCAGTTGTTCTGGCATAACTATTCATAGTGCCTCCTTCTGCTCTTCAAAGTGTCCTGGTGTGGGTGAAGATTGCACTGTCAACTCCCTTTAGGCATGGCTCACTTATGCCCCGAGCCACCCCAAGATGCCCACAGAGCTTTCCCAGCAGAGCCCACTAGTCAAGATTTTTCTGCTCCTCTTCCTGACCCACTCCCTCAAGGCCAAGGAACCCAAACATATCCTGGTTGAGTGTATTTGAAAACAGCCTTTTGCAGCCACTCTCCCTAGAACAGAGGGGTGCAAACGATGCCATAATTTAGGCCTGTGTCCGACCCAGGGGGGCAGGGACTTTGACAGGGGCTGCCTTTCAGCGTTCTCCCCACACACCACTGAGGCAGGCCTGCATTAGCGAGAGGGGCTCACAGGAGCGCTGGGGAGAGCAGATAAAGCAGGCTCTGGCCACCCTCATGTCCCCTGCTGTTAAAATCCCACACTCCTCTGCCCCCTAAAAAGACATCAAGCCAAGCCAGCGCCTCACAGACGCCCTCGTGAAGACAGGATGGCACTGGCCTCTGACCATGTGTCTCATTCACAGGCAGATTTTTAGAGGAATGACAGGAACTTTATTCTAATATTGCATGGAATGTTTTTGAAGTAGAAATGGTTATCTGACAAAAAAATTCCTTATACTTTGACCATCTAAAAGGTTATTTTCTATAAAAATTATATAAATATTTCCAGGTCCATAGATGAACACAATGTTATGGTTCTAATAGTTTTAAAAATCAACAGAATTAGATTCTTTAGATAATGATCAGCCTGGTCAGGAAACGACATTCCCCAAGCAAGCATAAAGAGAGGATGCAATTACCGGGGGAGAGCAGGAATCCGCTGGGGCTGGAGGGGGGGCTGAAAACAATGAAAACACAATGAACGGTGCGCTTTGATTTCATAAAATAAAACCCCACAAAAACTACATGTAAAAGGTGAAACTAACCATCCAAGGTGAAGGTCAGAGGACCTCCTGAATCAACTGCATTCTGAGTTGAAATAATTACTAGATCACCTGGTAGATTCGTTCTTCCAGGAGGCAAAGACCTTTTTCCTTTTTATTCTTATGAGGCAAATTTCTATTCAAGGCAAAAGGACAATGAGACTAAAGCCTTCAGAGCCGACAGACACGGCTCGTCCACTGGCTATGTCATCCTGGGCGAGGTCCTCAGCTTCTCAGAGCCTGTTTCCTTGCCTGTAAAATGTGGACAGTCATAGGTACCTTGCTGGTTTGCTGGAAAATTAGAGGTAATCTATCAAAAGTGCTGCTAACACTTCCTCTGGCAAGTAATGGACACTCAAAAAGATAACTATGACTATTTTGTGTGGGAGACAAGAGTTTCACCCAGAATTTAATCCAACTCCAAGGGGTTCTGTCAATCGCCACCAACTTCAGAGTCAATAACTGGACCTCTTCTGCTGCTCTGAGAGCCATTGTCAGGTAAACAGTAGAGCTGTGGCCACTCCTTTCCTGAGGCCCCTGGGCAGCGTGCAGAAGGCAGGCTCAGGGAGGCTGTGCTTTCCTCCTATTTGGGCAGCACTGTTTCCTCCAAGCCACACAACGCCAGACACTAGTGACATGAATGCTCTACTGGACCCCACAAGGTGACAGTCGCACAGAAGCCCGTGAAAACAAAGCTCCTGGGGCCATGCAGGGAGGCTCCTGCACACATACATCTCCCATGGGGCACCTGTTTCGAGCACCACAGGCTGGGCAGGGACATAGAAGGATGCCCTGAATTGTGAGCACCTAGGCTCCACAGGAAGCCGAGGCTGGACATTCAGGTCAGGCTCTAAGACCCTCACTCCAGCTGGTCAGCAACAACACTCTATTGAGAAGCCCCCACTCTACAGAGAAGGGGCCCTTAAGCAAGAAAGAACTCTCCTCGATTTGAAGGAGGATGTGCCAAGCTCCCTGGCTGGGGATGTGCATGCCAGGAAGCAGATTCAGTTTGAAATGCACACTCCAGAGCATGGAGAAGCACCTGAGAGCAGCAGCAGGGACCACAAGGACACCCTCCTAGGTGATAGGCAGGGTCACACGGGGTCCCCAGTGAAAGCACACAGGTCAGAAAAAGAACAGACTGTGCAGGCAGAAAGCAACAGACACACTTGAGGTAAACTGTGGTCTCAGAAACATGAGGCACGCAGGCGTCATCAGAAAGAGCCTGACAGTGAGGTCTGGTTCTCTGGAAAGTCCCAGCGAGGTTTTTGGTCCTGATGAAACTGTTCTCCATTTCACAGCAGTCATCCTAAATACTCCAGAAAAGGTCTGTGAGGAGGGTGACTCACTTCTCATCTTCTACAGTCCTACAGGCAAGGACTAGAGTCCAAGACAAAGCCCATGCTGATGGCCCAGTGAGGCCAGGAAGCAGGCAGGAACATCCTCTCCAGGCCAAGGCCAGCTCCACCCAGACAAGGCCACACATCGCAGGGCGGGGTGACCGGACATGTCCAGGGAGTGGAAGTCCCCAAAGCTGGAAGCTAGCTCTGCTCATCCTGCAGCTGGCTGTCCTGCTTGGCTTGTGGCGAGTGGAGGCAAGTCCCTGCCCGCCTGGAGCCATCAGATGTACTGCTCCTCATCCCTGTCATTCAGGAGCAGAGACCACTTGTCCCCACCATCATCCACTGTAGCGCTGTGCCGGGATGGCTTGTCAGACGTCAGGGAGGACAGCGACACCTGGCTGACATAGCTGACCTGGTCCCATGGCGTGGCCCTGGGGGAGTCCCTCCGCCTGTCATCCATGCCGATGTGCACACTGACCTGGGATGCCGTCAGGGGCTTTATGCGGCCGTGCACCTGTGCCTCGTACCTCTCCAGTTCAGGCTTCTTATAGCTGGAAAGCAGGAATGCAACAGCATCTGAGCCATTCTAGATACAAGGCTCTTTTTTTTCTAACCTGGTGAAGGCCTCTCATCCATCTTTTCATAACATTCAGTATAAAAACCTCAAGAGTTTCAAAGGAAAAGGGCATTAAACTCCCTATGGTTCCAGGAAAGCTCAACTGATTTAGAAACTTCCTAAGCAAATGCCTTATGCTGCCACTAACTTTAGTTAAATGAATGGACTCATAAATAAGTGAACATCTTGTTTAAAGGAAACAATGATAGATAATACACAGGGACCCATGTCTGCATGATGTTCATATAACAGCCCTTGAGCGGCAGAGTAAGGGCAGCCTGGCATGAGGCTGTGCAGCGGTGAACTGCCTGCTCAGGGTGCTAAGTCACACGCACACACACCTGGCTCCATGTGGGCTGCCACTGCAGCATTTATCCCAGGCAAATGAATGGGGAGTGAGAGGCAAGACCCACTGTGCCTTGAGCATGCAGAGTGACAGAGCCTCCTGGGAGCCTCTCACAGATGCCCCACCTGCAGGGACTCACCACTTGAGCTGCAGGGATGAGAGCACCACAGACACGGAGGAGGCTGCCATGGCTGCCGAGCCCATCCAGGGCTGCAGCACAATGCCGATGGGCATGAAGACACCTGGGGAAGAAAGAACTCACACTCACACCTAGGCCTGGGAGAGGAGCCAGGAGAGGGCCTCCAGCACCAGGCTAGCCCCACCCTCAGTGGCCCCCTTGGAGGTCTCCTCCTGGCATGCTTGGAAGCACCTGCTGATGGGTCTTGCCTATAGGTCCCCAAAGCGAGGCTTCCTAGAAAGATGGGTGTGGGGTGCTGTCGAGTGGGCCTGACTCTCTTCTACTCGCCCTCATGTTCCCAGAACCACACACAGATGGCATCCCATTTCAGGGCCAGCTCCACAGGAGTGGCAAAGCACAGGGAGTGGGAGGGGCGGGGGAGGAGAAAAGTGGCAGGAGGTGAGGGAGCCAGTAGCCCATCCTGCAGCCATAGTCCCGCAGAGGATAATCACGGCTGAAGGCCACAGCCCTTGTCTAGAAGATAATGTTGACTCCAGGGCTTCGTAACATCTTCAAGAGAAGAATGAGAGCTGGGTTCCAGGACAGGGTCAGGAGACAGGTATGGTCAATTTTGCATGGCAGAGGCACACACACTGGGGGAATGAAGCTCCTGAGCTGGCTCTAGGGACAGGAAATAAACCTGCCTGACTGACTCACTGGGCTCAGGAGGCCAAGGCCCAGTTATACACATCATCACTAACCACTCAGACACAAGGGAAACCCAGGCAGGAATGCTGAGTTTACAAACTTGATCTCTCTTAAGCCCATGGAGGAGCACTGCCTTGCAGAAGGGTCTGGAAGTTTTCCCTGCCATATTCCATGGAATAGAGGGCAGGAGAGAGGCAGTTGCTGGGGAGGGGGAAGGAGGAGGAATTACAAAGCAGAAAAATCCATTTATTTTCCTTTTTTCTTTTCCTGAGAGTTTCACTCGTGCCCGGGCTAGAGCGCAGTGGTGTGATCATGGCTCACTGCCACCTCCAGCTCCTGGACGCAATACATCCTCCTGCCGCAACCTCTGTACTCCCAGATGGGACTAAGGTATATGCTACCATGCCCAGCTAATTTTAAAATGTTATGTAAAGGGAGACTCTATGTTGCCCAGGCGGGTCTTGAACTCCTGAGCTCAAGTGATCCTCCTGCCTTAGCCTCCCAAAGTGTTGGGATTACAGGCATGAGACAGCATGCCTGGACAAAAAGCCATTTCTTTCCATGATCATCTGTATAAATCAGAGTGAAACTGGGCAGGATTAGTGTCCAATATAAGGTTCTGAAACACCAGCAATTGTGCCTAACATGGTTGGGTGTGGTGGCTCACACCTGTAATCACAGCACCTTGCAAAGCCAAGGCTGGCGGATCATCTGAGGTCAGGAGCTCAAGCCTGGCCAACATGGTGAAACCCCATCTCTACTAAAAATACAAAACTTAGCTGGGCATGGTGGCACATGCCTGTAATTCTAGCCACTTGGGAGCCTGAGGCAGGAGTATTGCTTGAACTGAGGAGGTGGAGGTTGCAGTGAGACAAGATTGTGCCACTGCACTCCAGGCTGGGCGACAAGAGTGACACTCCATCTCAAAAAAAAATGCTCCTAGCATGTAGCAGGTGCCTCATAATTCTTACTAATGATGAATTCTCAGACTATATGTCTTAACAAATGGTTCAAAAACATACCCAAGCATCTCCACTAGCTTTTTAGAAAGGATCAGAGTGGATGAAGGCTTTGGGTCCTCTCAGCACTTTCTCATTTACCTTTAGAGACATATAAAGCAGGGGACATAACAAAACCAGCCTTTCTAAAACGCCTCTAGCCAGCCAGTGAGTAAGCCACTCACTAACCTCAGCAGGAACCCAGGAGGGAGAAGCCTTTCTGGGCACAGCTGAAGCACAGTAGTTAAGAGCTGCCTACCTGCCGCAATGGGTATCCCAACCAGGTTATAAATCAGTGCCAGGACCAGGTTGATGCGTATCCTCCGGACAGTCCTCTTGGAAAGGTGAATGCTAGCCACCACATCCAGCAAATCATTCTAAGGGAGAGGAGCACGCGGTGAGGAAGGGGTCTGCCCATCGCCCTCCCAGCTCCCACAGCCTGGCTACAGCTGTGCTCACTCTAATGAGGACGACGTCGGCTGCCTCAATGGCCACATCTGTGCCAGTGCCGATGGCGACACCCATGTCTGCCTGGGCCAAGGCCGGAGAGTCATTCACCCCGTCTCCCACCATGGCGACTTTCTTCCCTTTGTTCTGAAGCTCCTGGACCTTGGCCACCTTGTGGGAAGGCAGCACCTCTGCAAAGACTTTGTTGATGCCAACCTAAGAGGAAAGGAAGGCAACGCCTGGTGTTGGCAAAAGGTATCGAACTGCAGCAGAAACCCCAAGTTACCCTTGCCCCCTCTGCCCCTGGGTCCAGTCAGTGATGTTGGTCAACTATACCCTGCAGGTTTGCTGTCATAAGGCCACCTTCTCCCTGGCTCCTGCCCCAACACCCTATACTGGTTTAGGACCCGTCCTTTCCTGGATGTGCAAACAGCCCCCTTGCTGTTCTCCCTGTCCACCGCTTAGTCCCCCAACTCTCTTATCCATGTGCTGCCTCCACAGTCTTCCCAAAGCAACTGTGTGGCCAAGTCCCTACTCTCCTGCCTCACATCCTCCAGAGGACCCCACGCACTCCCAGAGGAGGGCAGCTCAACTCTCTGGGGTCTGCTTCCGAGGCCCCCAGGGTCCCAGGGTCTGGCCTCTGCCTGACGGCCTGCAGCTGGTGTCACACTCAACCACACCATTCAGCTCCCCGCAGCATCTCCAATCACCTTGCTACTCTGTGCCCCTGGGAAATGCTCCTGCTGCTGGTTGTGTCCTGGAAGGTGCAGTTTCCCTTTCCTAGTCCCTCTCCCGCTTCTCAGCTCTATGCCCTGTCCCTGGTCCACCTTTCCATAGGACCATAAGCCCCTCAAGCGCAGAGCCCCTTTCACTCCTCACAGAGCCTGGCCCCACACCTGACTGTCACATTTGTGGTATTTTGTAAGTGTCCGCTGAACAGATGAACAAGTGTTAGCCAGGAAATGGGGGATGGACACTCAATAGGTCCATTGTTAGCAAGGAGGACCACGGAAAACAGGGGTCCTGATTTTTCCCTCATGGACATAATGAGGCTTTCAGATGACTAGAGCTCTGCACGCATTTGGAGGGGTGTAATTTCTAGGAATCTAAACTGGAGCCACTGCTATGTGGGGAGCCAGGCAGCCCTCCAGTGGTGCTGTGCTCACAGCCCAAACTCAGCACCAAGGGCTGCTGGAGAACTGCCCAGGACCAAGTCACTTATCTGGGCACCCCAGTGAGAAAAGCTGAGCTGGCAAAATCTTCCCTTAACATAAAAATTAGAAAATGTCTATCTTAGCCCTTAAGCCACAAACTTTTTTTCCATCACGAAGACTAGAAGAAGGTTAGAGAACAGCAGAATTCCTTTTTCTAGGATGCATGCGCTCAGGCCCCAGGGATAAGATCTCTGCACAGCAGCACAGCACTCGTGGAACACTGCACAGCCACAGAATGATGCACGTGGAGAGAAAAGCACCCAGTGAAGGGGAAAGAGCAGGAGTACTGCTGAGCGCTGGGCCAACTGGTGCTTACTTTTGCCTCTAACTGCTACTATGAGCTTTACACAGTTTGCAACATTAAAGGGCTGTACCTGGGTGGCAATGGCTCTGGCTGTCTTCCGGTTGTCCCCCGTGATCAGAACCACATCTACACCCATGCTCTGCAGCGTGTGCACAGCCAAGGCGGCCTCCTGCTTGACAGCATCTGCTATAGCAATCATCCCACAGAGCACACCTGGAGCAAACCAGCCAGCATCAGCAGCTACACAGGATAGGGCACCCCGCACGGAGCTACCATACTTGCAATGTTCTCATCATACAGTGTTATGTGCAAAAAACAAACACCAGATTATATATAATAATACCATGGGGTTTTCTAGCTTTTTAAAAAGTACACACATTTTACAGACACACACAAGAGTCTAGAAGCAATATAATTAAAATCTTTGCAGTGGCGCCCTGAAGAAGAGGATTATGAGTAATTTCATTTTCTTCTTTATAGCTGAATTTTCCAAACTTTCTGCAAGGAGAATGGATGACATTTTGCAAGGTGCCGGGCTTGAAATAAGAATTCAATACACATTAGCTACTAAAATTTGAGAAATATAACAGATGTCACTTAAAGTGGTAACTGTCCAAACTAGAAAATCAATCCTTCATTTGCCTTTTCCTACAGAAAACATTTCTGCAGCATTTTGCTTTTAGTGTATCTTTTTAGTTATAGAAGCAGGGGGGCTCTTAGGGCTGAGGTGTAAATGAGAACAGAGTGAGGGATGACATATGAGAGGGCACGACTCCTTTAGTTGTGCCAATTCTGGTTTGACAGCTGAGAGGACTTTATAAAGACTTGGAAAAAATTGAAAAAAAAAAAAAAAAAAAAGAGAATGTGAGAGGAAGACATATTTGGCTGAAGCATTCAAAACGTGGTGTCATAAGTTTTATTTCTTGCTTGCATATACTGTTACTTCTATTAGCAGAAACTTATATTAACAAAGTAAAGACTCTACTCTCTCTGGTATGTAAAGCCCAGGATAGAATCTGAGCACTAAAACACATGCAGTCTTGAGACCTGTACTCTGTGCACAACCAGTCTGTATAAAGCACAGACAGAAGGGCCGTACATGGTGGCTCACACCTGTAATCCCAGCACTTTAGGAAGCCGGGGTGGGCAGATCACCTAAGGTCAGGAGTTTCAGATCAGCCTGGTGAAACCCCATCTCTACTAAAAATACAAAAATTAGCCAGGCATGCTGGCAGGTGCCTGTAATCTCTGCTACTCAGGAGGCTGCAGCAGGAGAATCACTTGAACCCAGGAGGTGGAGGTTGCAGTAAGCCGAGATTGTACCACTGCACTCCAGCCTTGGTGACAAGAGCAAAACTTGGCCTAATAATAATAATAATTAATAAATAAAGTAGATAGAGAAGAGCAGCATGGATCTCATTATTTAAAGGTGTCCTGTAGTTAAACCTGTTTCCTGCTCTGTCTACAGGGATGAATGAGAAGGATGACTCTGAACTGCCCACCTGGACAAGAGCAACAATGATAACAAAGACAGTTTAGAATTCCAAGGTCAAGAAGACTGAGGCCAGACCACAGCTGGCTCTGGGGCCAAGATGGAGACCGTGGGAAAGAACGAAAAGACAAAAAGACAATCTTTTTGAAGACGTGAAATTAAAGAGAGGAAGGTTTTTGTTTTTCATTTCTTTTTTAAAGGAGGACTCTTTTGCCAGATATCTGCAGAAAACTGCATTTCTGAGAGAGCGGAAGGAAGGCAGAAGCAGGAGATACCATCAATAGCCACCAGGATGGCCGTCTGTCCTTTCATCTCGTGGTCTGTCATAGCGTCACTGACATCGTTGGAAATGGTTAAGCCGTTGCGCCTCAGCCATTCGCGGTTTCCAATCAGCACAGAGAAGGTCTGGGGGGCTGCATCTATTCAAAAGAGGCTGTGGTTATTCCTAAATAGTCCAATTTCACTATAAACTAAAAACCATGTAATCCTTTTAATAGCAAAATATCCATTTAGCCATTCTGAAAAACTGTTACCTAGTAAGCACCTCCTGTGACAGCATCCTTTAGGACAAGAAAAAAAGTAAAATTAATTTGTAGGACATGTGGGTATGAATTAAGATGGGGCATTAATAGTACATGCTATATGGGTGGAAACGGTATAAACATACTAAACATAAGGCAACGTCCGTCTCTGTCTTAGAGGTATCCACTGATTCTTTTTCTGCAGGGATTAGAAGCACTTATTTATTTCCCCAGCACCCAAAGCAAGTGTTGACGATGTTCATTACTGCTTGGTATCGATGACCCCACGTGAATCAACAAATAATCAGACAAGTCTATATGAAATGTTTAAAACTGCAACTCCTGAGGCTGATGCATCTCTTACCTGTCACTTTCTAACAGTGTGTGCTGCTAACTGAGGTGTCACTGCACAGCCAGGCTCTCATGGAAAGGCCATCCCTGGGTTTTAAACGGCTGGAAGGTGGTGGATGGCTTACAACCACACAATCTAAGTCACAATTTCACTACCAACACTTAGGAAAAACACTGGTCATGGGTTTTGTTTTCTACCTTTTATGCTGGTGGCTGACAAGCTACTTTGAGAATAAGAAAGGCCATCCTTCAGAAGCAGTTGTCCCTCCAAGCAGTGTCCCTTCCTGGCTTGGGCAGACCATTTCCCTCTGCTTTCCCTGACATTTTCTACCAGTTCTGTAAATACCATCAGAGTTCTACCACACAGGATGGAAACAGGAAGAACAAAAGGAGAATTCCCCACCTGCCTACCCTGTAGCTTATGAGAAGCAAGACCAATTTGGGATAAGAAACAGGAGAATCAAAATCATGGATCAGCTAAGCAATGCTCCATGAATTTAAGGCAGCCATAAGCATCAGAATTCAGATGCATCCAAGAACATGAGAGAAAATGCAGGCTTTCCTGGGGGTGGGGAGGCCGGCATGGGTGCCTCAGCCATGAACCGTCTGTCGCATCACTGCTAGGTGCGGGACTCTCTGTGATTTGACCCACCTCTACATTGACCCAACAGCAGAGACAAAGGCCAGCAATACCTTTTCCTTCGGAAAGGCTGCCAGCCTCATTCAGGTGACTGGCACTCGGAGGGTGTCCACCGTGGGCCAGGATGCCTTCCACGTTGCTGACTTTGCACCCGATTCCACAGCCTGGCACTGCCTGGAAGTCTGTGCAGTATCCCAAGGTCTCTGTTCCAAGTTCCTATGAAGGTGGAAAGAGAGGGAGAAGAAACTGTAAGCCGTGAGGGGTGAAGTGAGAGGGAGGCAGGCAGGACAGGGACACGGGTGAAGGTGGCAAGAGAGCAGCAGAAAGTGGGAACTGATAGGAGGGGAGGGAAGTGGGATGGATGAGAAAGGTTAAGACAGAGACTAGTAACTTATAATTATTTCTCCCTCCCTTGGTAAAAATATTATAGCTGTTAAGTTGAATGAGACTAAACAGCCTGAAATCTTTCCCCGGATGGGTGCCTCATGATACCAGACAGGTTGCCAAATGGAAAGGAAACAGGCAATTCACATCAAAAACCTCAAATTAAAGAGGAGTGCAGGTGCCAAAGAGAGGAAGATGTGAATTTTATGTTGCAAATAACTTCATAAAGACAATGGAATAATTAGTGTTAACAAAGCGATTTGAGTCTATCAAGAGACAACTGCTCGTGTATCAGACCCTGGAGGAGGGGACAAGGTGGAAGGGGAAAGGAATGCCTGGGGTTTCTAGACTGCCCGACCTCCCCAGGCTGATCTCCCAAAGGGCAGAGTTCACATCCCACTCCTGTTGTTCTCCTGAGCCTGACACCTGGTGATGTTGAGCAAACGCCAGTGACACTGACATCCCTTTGTGATAACCTGGAACTGTGGCAAGGGCTGACTGTAAGCCCTGTCTCCACCTGCTACAGAGGTGCCTTCTAAGTGGTTTTCCAGACGACACAGTGAAGGCCTCCTCAGGCAGCTAGGAGAGAAGGGCGTGGTGAGGAGTAAAAAAGCACTGGCGGGGAGGGCAGGGCCATGCCCAGGTCCACGTACCTCTTTACAGTATTTGGTGACTGCCACGCCCAAGGGGTGTTCACTGCTGGCCTCTGCAGTCCCCACCACAGCCAGAACCTTCCTGAGGGGCAGTGTGGCCATGTCCCCCAGCAGGAGCACCCGCATGACCCTGGGGACCCCATGGGTAATGGTGCCAGTCTTGTCAAACATCACAGTCTTTATCTGCCAAAAACAACCACAACTTAGTGACCACAATACAGATGGGGTCTTCCACAGTCATAGTCCTGAGGCAGAACTTCACCCAACCTGCCTCAGGCAGGAAACAAGACATCTGCACAGCTCCCTAAGTGATCCTCTGTCATCAATCTTGGAGTTCAACAACTCCCACTTCCCTATGTGCCCAGTCAAACCAGTCACCCTGAGGCTTGACCTTGACCAGGCAAAGCCAGAAACCCTCATTTGGCTGTACAGGAGATGGCACAGCATTGTCCCCCAGACAGTGACACCATCCATAGACTTCCTCATGTCAGGTCAGGGGTCAGGACCCTGAGGGATAGTGTATAATTCAAACCCATTTAAGGCCAGCAGGTTTCTCCGTTCAGACCATGTCCCACAAGCAGGGTTCTCCCTTATAAGCAAACAATAATTCAGCTTCTTGTTTCTGCTGCTGAGTGGTGGCCATCCTTCAACACCCTTAACTCATCTTCCTCCAGAAATTCTTGCCAGCTTTCAGTGCATCCTTCGCTCTGCAGCCAGAATGATCTTCACAACACATGATCTGGTCACATCGCGTAGGTGTGCCATCGCCCATGTGGCTTCTAGGCTGATGTTCAGAACCCTTGACTAAACCTTCGGCCTTTGCATTCTGGCCCCTCCCTCAACGGCCTCATCTCCAGTTCCTCTCTCTCAATGATTTTCTTCCAGTTTCTCATTTGCTCATTCAACAAATAACTTCTGAATGCTCTCGATGTTTCAGGCTAGATGCTGGGGATACAGTGGGGCAGGAAAGCTCCACCTCCACAAGTCCTTTCCACCTGCTGGCCCCATTCTGGAACATTGCTCCCCAGGTCCATTTACTGGCTCCCACTCAACTGTAAGGTCTCAGATGAACATTCACATTCCCTTCCCTGAACATCTGCAGCGTCCTTGTCCCTGAGTCTAGGACTGGCCCCTGTTCAAGTGTCCCCATGGCATCAAGTATCATCTTGTAATACTTGTAATACTCACCCAGCTTTGCTATTTACTTTTTCACTTTCTGTCTTTCCTGCTAAGCTGGTGGGCTCCTTGGCAGCTGGAAACCATGACCATTGCCAGGACCCAGTGCAGGGCCCACACACAGCAAGTACCCAACAAATGCTGATTAAATATGTGGAAGTGTGGAAAGCAAGAGGTTGGTAATCTGAGCAAAAGGAAGACTCTTCACAAACACTGTCACACGCTCTTCACTTCCCAGTGTCACAAGACCCACCACTAATCCCACAGATGTCACGGTGGGGCTTTTGTCCTGGAGCCTGGCTACCTGAGTGTGAAATACAGCTCTGCCTTTGATTGCTGCAGGCCTTTAAGGGCAAGTTACCTAATCTCCTGCTGCAGTTTCCTCATCTGTAAAATGGGAATGATAAGCACCTCCCACACAGAGTTGTTAATGCAATTAAATCAAGTAATGTTGATAAAGCGTTTCATTATGTGACTGGTGGCTACCCTGAGGCTGTTGTTATTCCCTGTTGGACTTGGCTTCCTTTCCTATTTAACTAACACTGCTGTCTTGGATGGCTCTCAGGCTTTTGTCTCAATGTGAAATAGTAAACAGACACTACTTTCATCTCTCAGGACGGGTAACGCTGCTGTGCGGGCTGACCTTGTGCGCCATCTCCAGGGGCTTGCCTCCCTTGATGAGGATGCCATTCTGTGCAGCCACCCCAGTGCCCACCATGACAGCTGTGGGCGTGGCCAGCCCCAGGGAACAGGGACAGGCGATGCACAGCACTGTGATGGACGTCTGGAATGCAAACCGGATGATCACCTCCGTCTGGGAGATGTGCTTGTTGGGGTTCTGAAAATAGGACAGAGACAGAGGCAGGTTGAGATTTCAATAAGGAAGAACCTTAAACAAATATGGACATTTCTGGGGGGCACTGGGCCTGAGATAGCATGACCAACTTGGGTTTAGGAAACAGATGGTGTTCTGCACTGCTTTGCTGTCACAGAGAACACGTTACTGTTCTCCATGTCCCAGTTTCCCAACTTCATCCAGCAGGTTTCCCTCAAAGAGGCATTCCAGGAGCCGAGTCACATGAAAGCCCTTGAAAGGGGAAGGCAGACTCTGGAGATGGACCACATCGCAGGCTCTGAGGCTAGCTTTACGTCTCTGTGCCTCAGTTTCCTTGTATACAAAATGGAGATGACAATGCATAGCTCATAAACTGTGGTAAAGATTAAATGAGGCAATATACATATAAACATATAAATATACACAGTACATAACACCTGGCATAGGAATAGCATCTAAGAAACTGTAACTATTATCATTATTTTTCTCATCATTAGGACAGCTTTAAAAATGCCTGGTCTCCAAGGGATCTATTCTAAGGTGATAATCATATAAATGAGAAAAGATGCAAGGATATTTACCATAGTATTTTGTTTTGTTTTTGTAAGGGCAAAAAATGGAAACAGCTAATAAGGGATTAATTAAATTGTAGATGTGGTGTATATAATGGGGTATGAAGCAATTGTTGGAATGATAATGTGTATCTACACTTACTGACATCGAAAGGTACCAGCAGCACTGCAAAATTGAAAAGCAAGTACAAACAGCACGTGCTGGGATTTATTTGTGCAAAAATCTCTGCCTATATCTGAATATAGCATTTCAACAATACTGGAAAGATATCTACCAAAGTGTAAAATATTTACTTCTAAGGATATGATTTGGAGCTATCTTTATTTTTCTTTCTATATTTTTCACTATTTTTTCTTTGTAACTTAAAACAAATAAAATATGAGTCTACTTTCCAGAGAAATACTTGGTATTATTTGTATTCTGAGAGCCTGAATTATCTGTTTATTTTTCAAAATGGCTGGTGGGTATGGAGAATAATCAAGAGAAACTACGTTCACTTATAGTAAAAAGCACAGTTATCTAAAGTGAAGCTATGGACCACAACCTCCTTAGTTTCCATCTACATTTTATTTGTTCACTCTGAAAGGCAGGGTTCTATACTAAAGGAGTCTTTTAATTTTCAAAGAAAGAGTTATATTTAGGTAGAGGGATACACTAAAGTTTTTAGAGATAAAGATTATGTAATATTTTTTTAAAACACAGTAATTATTGTCAAAATCACACCTAGCATTCTGATAGGACTGGGTGGACTTCTAGAAGTTACCACAAGCCCTTCTCTACAATGACTTTGGTACAGTGGAGAGATGATAGTATCTTAAAGGAACATGCAGTACCTCATTTGCCAGCATCCTCCCTGATATTGCAGATAAAAACAAAAGAAGCCAAAGTAAGATGGAAAGGCATGGACAGCAGAAAGCCACAGATTCCAACTTGTTTAGGATTGAGTCTTCCCATGGCCACATGCCAACACACCGTTCTCCCAAAAAAGCCGAAACTGTAGGCAGTCGGGTGCCATGGATAGCAACTGGCAAATTCTAGCCATACAACCATAAGTTATTTTTAAGAGCACTGAGGTCTCCTTAGATGTCAGAAAGGGCTTAACTTGAACATTTTTCAATCTAAGATGGGAAATTTGAGGGAGAAAAATGACATCTTAGTAAATGACATGTGTCCTAAGAATATTTGATATACCTTTAATTATGTACAGAAATTTTTTTAAAAGAAAAAAATTACCCATTCCATATTTGTACTTTTTGCTATGTTGCCCAGGCTGGAATGCAGTGGCTATTCACAGGCATGATCATAGCACACTACAGCCTTCAACTCCTGGACTCAGACAATCTTCTGCCTCAGTCTCCTGAGTAGCTGAGTCTACAAGTGCATCACCACGCCCATTTTGTAGTTTCTTATTCTATGGCTTTATGGCATAAGAAGCATTAGACTGGGCCAGGAATAAGATAAGGTAAAAACATTGTTCCAACCATTCGGCTGTTACCAAATACCATTCTAAGTGTGCCAATAGCTTTTTAAGTACGTTACCAGAGTTTCAACTCCAGCGCCTCTGACATTCGGGACTAGATAATTCTTTGTTGTAGGGGTCTGTGCTGTGCCTTGCAGGATGTTTAGCAGCAGCTCCCCTGCCACAAAAACCCAAAATGTCATAGCTCCCAACTGAGACACACGGATGTAATACATTTTTTATTCCTCAAGCAGATACATTTTTTGAGGGGTGGCCTGTATTTTCCTTTCTTTTTCTGAGGCTTAATAAAACCATATTTCCTAAGATAGTGTTCTTCATCCACTTTTTAAAACTCAAAAATGTGTATTTCATTGCCTCACATATAATGTTTAGTAAATATTTAATTAGAAAGCTATTCACGCCTGGGTTCAATGGCTCACGCCTGTAATTCCAGCACTTTGGGAGGCTAAGGTAGGTGGATCAACTGAGGTCAAGAGTTCGAGACCAGCCTGACCAATATGGTGAAACTCCATCTCCACTAAAAAGACAAAAGTTAGCTAGGCATGGTGGCATGCACCTACATCCCAGCTACTTGGGAGGATGAGACAGGAGAATTGCTTGAACCTATGAGGCAGAGGTTGCAGCGATCCAAGATCAAGACAGTGCACTCCAGCCTGGGCAACAGAGAGAGACTCCATCTCAAAAATAAATAAAAAATAAAAATAAAACACAAAAAAGCTATTCACATTAGTTGCGAAGCTGGGAGGTCAAAGACGGTACTGGTAAATATATATATATCAAAACGTATTTTTCTTAAAATGTATTAAATAATATTATCATGCCACTGAAATTTAAAGTGAACTACTTTCTCTGATGTATCCCTCATAACCTCAAAATGGCCAATAATACATATTATACATGCTTCAAGCATTACAACTGGGCACCAATTGGTGTCTGTGAAAATTACCTAAGGAGAATGCAAAGGACATCTTTAATAGAATGTGCAGAAGGAGAGTGATTGCTTATCCTACTCTGGCTTAGATTTTGCTGCCAATAAGAGAAGCAAGCAAACAAAATGTAATGAAGAAAGCCCAATGAATCTAAGACATTAAAGAATAGGATCAATGTCAGCAGATTATTTAAAACACAACCACCATACAGCCCAAGGCATTCAACTTACAGGAAAGTATTTCTGAACAACATCAAAATCGATAAAACCGATTACAATCCATACCACCAACGTCAAAGTTGACATGATGATGATAAATGGGACAAAATATCCACTAAACCGGTCAGCCAGTTGCTGAATGGGTGCCTATGAAAATAAAACACCGAGACCATGGGAAATTACAACCTATGAAGAAATAAAACACCATAAGCATGAATAAGCATTGGGATCATCTCCCTCATTTAACCACGTTTACTAATCCATCTCTACTCAATAAAACTGTCTGATTTCCCAGAACTCTTGACATAATTTCTAAAACAAGAAAGCTGAAGTTAGTTTTAAAAATTTCTTCATTACCTTTGACATCTGGGCCTCTTCCACCAATTTCACAATCTGAGCCAAAGTGGTGTCATTGCCCACGTGGGTGGCTTTAATGAGCACAGCACCATGTGCATTTATAGACCCTGCAATTACAGTGCTTCCGGGTTTCTTAGTGACTGGCATGGCTTCACCTAGATGTAGGAAAGAGACAACCATCACTGGCTCAGCCCCATCCAGCACTCATGTGACCTGACAGCTGCTATGATATCCACCTGAGGGAACACAAAACAAGCCATCTCACCTGTGATGAGGGATTCATCAGCCATGGTATTGCCTTCCAGGACTTTCCCGTCCACTGGGAACTTTCCCCCGGGGACCACCTTGACGATATCGCCCCGCTGCACCAGCTCCATGGGGACTTGCTCCTCCCTGCAACAAGTGCCACTCATCACTCACATGGCCACTCATTCAGTCACTGGGTCAGGTTTTAGGTCAGCTGACACATTAGCTACACTATACTTGCTTACACTGAGCAACAGTATTCATTTGATCTGTTCATTTACGGATTAAGCCAATATTTATCATGCAGCTGCTAAATGCCAGGCATTGTTCTAGGCACTGGTGATACGGTTGTGAATGGCACAGCAAAGGCCCTACTCCCTCATGAAGACAAGTTCTGTGGTGGATATCGACAGGCAAGATAGCATCGGGTACTAAGTATGAATAAGTGCTATGATGAAAATAAACCAGGATAATGTGACTGGAGAGTTTCTTAGAGTGGCAGGGAGGATGACACATGGAAGGGCTTCTCTGGGAAGATAACATTTAAGCTGACACCTGCATGCCAAGAAGGTCCAACACACAGGAAAAGAAGTTCAAGGGCAGAAAACAATGGACACAAAGGCTTAACGCAAGCCGGAAGGGTGAGTCTGAGAAACAGCAAGCAAGCAAGTAAGTGATGTACAAGTTGAGGTCAGAGAAGCAGGCAGAGTCCAGATCATGCCAGGTCTACTGGAGCAGAGCATGAGTTTAGATGTAAGCGTTTTAGCAGGAAAGTGACACAATCTGATTCGCATTTAAGTGATCTCTTTGGCTGCTACATGAGAATGGGCTGTAGGAGTGATCACAGGAGTGAGGGGGAGAGTCAGGCTGCTGCAGCAGCCTGAGTAGAAGATGGTGGTAACTTGGACTACAGAAAGAGAGAAGAAATAAGAGGTCATGGGTCTTAGGTCAGAGGTTTTAGGTCATGGGTCAATAAAATGTGAAAATGTGCTAAACGTGAGGGTAAAGAAAAGAATTAAAGATGAGCTCTAAATTTTCCTTTTGAGCAACTGGGTAGATAAACTAATAAGGTGGAAAAATTATGGAGGAGAAGCTAAGGGAGGGTGAGGGAAGAGAAGGGGAAAGGATGGAGAGAAATGGTTCATTTTGACATGTAGGGTTTGAGATGCCTGTTTGATTTCCACATAGAAACATCAGCTAGGGAGCTGCAAATGAGTCTGGAATGGACAGAAGAGGTCAGAGGTAGAGAACAAACTAGGGAGCTGCCACACGTAGATGGCATTTAAAGCCGTGAAATCATATGAGCATCTCTAGGAATGTAAGGAGAAAAAGAGAAGGGTTCCTAGCACTCATCCCTGAGGCACTCCACTATCTGAAGGCTGAGCAGAAACTAAAGGAACAGCAGGGACACAGGAGGAAAATGAGAGTGGGGATGAGGAGGAGGGAGCACCCATCCAACAGCATCAAACGCTGCACAAGTAGTTCCACAGGGGCAAATACATGTAAAAGTTCATTACACCCTATACATAGTGTTTGTTTGATGCAGTGAATGTGAGTTATACATTAAAAAAGCAGAAGAAATCAAAGAAACAGACAAGGGGGAAATACTGGTGAAAGACTGAAATGAGAACACAAGTAATGCTGGATTGGGGTACATGAAAATAATTTGATGGCTCTTGCCAAACCAAGTTCAGAAACTGGTAAAGGCAGAGGCTCAACTAGAATGGGCTGAGAGAGCATGGGGTGAGGAGGCAAAGGCAACAGCGAAAATCAAGTTTTTAAAGGAGGCTTGTTGTGAAGGAACAGAAAAACAGAGCAGTAGAAGGGAGGGTGGATTAAGGTGGGAATTGCGTCTTGTATGCACGTGTGAACTGTGCGCTGGTGGGATGTGTCCTGCAGAGACAGAGATGGTGTGGGGGAAGAGAGGAGAACACGGCAGGAACAGAGACAAAGCCAGAGGGAGGCACCCACAGCCCAGGGCCAGCTTCAGCAGCAGCTCTCTAAAAGCATGGCGTGGGCCCAACAGGATTAACTGTATAGGTAACACTGGCTCATGAGCAAATGGTGAACAACCATAGAGCATGTATGGAGAGTAAGCAGGGCTCTGAGGTTCACACCTTTCTTTCAATCTACAAACTACATTTAAACTATTTCAGGGACAAAAAGAAAGCCATCTTACTGACTTGAGAAGGAGAAACAGTTACTGAGTGCTAGGAACTATGCTAGATTTTTACCTGTTTTATCTCACTGAATCTTCCCAGAAACATACTAGGGAGTCCTATTACCCACATCTGAGTAAAACCTGAAGATGTCTTTGAAAGGTACAAAATTGAACATACATGCCCACTTATTTAAATGTTGCTATGTGCAAATATATAAAAATAAGTAATTAGCATATGCAGCTAGGTATGTTAAATATTTGCATCAATATTTTCCTTTTTAAAATTTGTTCAGGAACAGCCTCTGTGCTGTGAGGATGCCAGGCTTGTATAGCTACTTCCCAGGATTACGTGAGGAGCTTAGCATGGCACCTGGTAAACAGTAAGTGCCCAATGAATGCTGGCAATTTTTATATTCACCTAATTGACATTTTCATATTGATTGGCCTCTGTGTACCAGGCACCAGGGTAGGCTGGCGTTACAAACAGGACAGAGTGGAGCTTTCCTCTCAGGAGGTTTATAGCCTCATATGTAAAAGCAGACACATGGATGGACAGTTAAGACACACACAGGAAGTTCAATAATGGCAATCAAAATAAATGGAGCACTGAAAAGGAGACTTTCAGACTAAAGTCTTTAGTGCTGGGAGTACACCTGTGTAAATCTGTTTGGTGGCTGAGTGAGGGAAGGATCTCGACAACCAAAGAATATTCTCTGCTTATTTTTAAAGTGCTCCAGCGATGGAGAAGTCCAGGCTCAACACTGCCTTTGAGGCCTCCTTTGCACAACCTGGAGGATTTATCATCCCACAGAGGTCTCCACATGGCCTGAGAAGCCCATGTCGGGAGGAGGAGCTCCCTGCATTCAATTTGGAAATGAAAGACCCCAAGAACTAAAGGGCAGACCCTTCTCCAGCAGAACCTAATCACTAAGTTTTAAAATGTTCACTTCTGTAAGGAGATTTAAAATTGGCACAAACGTCCAATTGGGTGTCTTTCTAAGAAATCTTTAGTAATGCTAATCTCTGTTAAATCTAACTTTGAATGTCTCCTTTGATCTAAATTAACCACATCTTTCTAACTCTAAGCAGCTTAAGAGGAACAGTCCTTTATGGGAGTTAAAATGTGGCTCCTTCTGGTGAATCCCAATACATTTATTCTTCAGAAGTTACTATTCCTCCCCAAGTGCAGAGTGAGAGGCGCCCTCTTAATTAAAAGACCGTGGTTTGTTTCATAGTACTTCTTTAAGAGTTTCTGCTAGCAGTCTGTTTACTTGTCTCCTCTCTTCTATTCCCCTCCCTTATTAAATATAAAGTAAGAAAACAAAGAAAAAACTTATAGCATTATGCTCACTGGTCTAGATATAATTTGTAATTTGTTTCCCCATCAATTATAAAAAAAAAAAAAACAGAAAATTTCAACATGGAGGCTGAGGATGGGGTTGTGCAAGACTTTTAATATCAAGCACATGCATGTGTGCAGTATGTTTCTTTAACATCTGACAACAGTTTCATCCCATTAGTGAGTACCTGTTTGCCCACCATGTTTATGTCCCAGGTGGCTCTGAGAGCACTGAGGAACCACAGCTGAGCCAGGCCTGGGGAATCAGGAAAGGCTTCTGGAGAATGCAACCTCCAAGCCGAGCCCTGAGGGTAAGGAGCCAGACAAAGGAGAAGGAAGAAGGGAGTGCAGGGGGAAGGAAGGATGTGTGAAGGGGTCTGCAGGGAGAGGCAGCCCCTTTCTGGGAACTGCCAGTGGTACAGGCAGCTGGAGCACAATGCAGAGGATGGCAAATGGGCTGGGCTCAACAGGCATGAGGCAGACGCCATGCCTCACTGCCACGTTAGGAATGTGGACTTGATCCTAAGGACAGCAGGCAGCCGCTGAAGGATTTTCCACTACAGAGTAATATGATCAATTTGTGCTTTCATAAAGATCACTGGTTTGAATGTGGAAAAATACTGGATGGATACCTGGGTGCAAGCAGTATGAGGAGACAGCTGCGCTGCTTTAGGGGCAGGGCCACGGTGGCCTGGACCAGCATGGTGGCAGTGGATGATGGCCCTAGAGACGGAGGTGCTAGAACCATGAGGACAGGGCGCAGATGTGTGAATGAGGGCAGGGGAGACATGGTAGAGGACACACGGGGAGCCAGCATGATGGTGCCATTCCAAGACAGGCGGGCACCAAGGAAGGGGAATATTTTTGGGAAAAAGTGGGGGAAGGTGAAAAAAAATACAGATAAGACGAGTCTGAGTCTTTAAGAGACACCCAAGAAAAATGTTCCCACCAGCAGGTGGTCTCTGGGATCTACATGTAGGTTTGAGAATGAGCTTACCATGGTTGTTAACCAAAGACATGGGGAGGTGAGAAACCCCAGTGATGGCCTTTATCACACAAAGACAGAGGCACCACCACCAGAACCCCAAAGACCACCCACAAGGCATGAGGAGAGGAGAAAGCCCATGGAGACTAAGCAGCAGCAGCAGCAAGGGAGGAAACCAGTGTGCCAGACGGATAGCACCTAAAAACGCTGCCAGCACCCAAGACTTGGAACAAAGAGAAAGCACAAGTGTCCCCAGCAAAGGGATGGACAAAGGGAGAAGCCCAAGCCTCGATGAAAGAAGGCAGTTATGCAAGAACCTCCAGGGGCCTTCAGAAGGTGCCGTGGACCAAAGGCACGGGCAGAGGCCCAGACACGGGAGGACCCCGTGGGAGGCAGACTGGGGGACCAGTGCCCAGTGCACCTCAAAGCACAGAATGGTCAAGCTCAGGAGAGGTCTAGACTGTTGCAATCCAGGTGGCAGAGGGTGCAGCCTTGGCCTGGGACAGAGGGGTGGGCCCGGGACGTGCTGTCCGGAGGTGAGTAGGAACGACCACACCCAAACTGTGAGCCAAAGCCAGGACGAACTCTGTCTTCTGGCTCCTAGCTTAATAATGTCCCATTATGTTGTGTGGTTGCTGGCAGCCGTGTTGGTTTGATTCACGTTTCCTCTGACTCGCCCTGCTAGGGTCTGCGGTGCAGTTTGAAGCACCTCTGATGGCACCGACTACAGTTGCCCTCTGCCACCTGGATTGCCTTCTGAAGGCCCCTGGAGGTTCTTGCATAACTGCCTTCTTTCATCGAGGCTTGGGCTTCTCCCTTTGTCCATCCCTTTGCTGGGGACACTTGTGCTTTCTCTTTGTTCCAAGTCTTGGGTGCTGGCAGCGTTTTTAGGTGCTATCCGTCTGGCACTCCATGGGCACGTGGGCTCGCAGACGCCTTCTCCTCCTGTTCAGATCCCTGGAATAGTTCCAAGCAACTGCAGTCGGTGCCATCAGAGGTGCTTCAAACTGCACCGCAGACCCTAGCAGGGCGAGTCAGAGGAAACGTGAATCAAACCAACACGGCTGCCAGCAACCTGGCTCCCCATCTGAACGTTTTCACTTCTCAGAAACTTTCATGCCATTAATTTATAAGAGAAAAAAAAGGAAGCCAAGGCATGCGAGTGCTACAGATCCCTGGTGCACCAGAGCCCAGCAGGCCAGGTGCTGTATGCGGGCCCTGTCTAGGGGCAACACAGCACAGTGGCCAAAGTGGGGCTCTGTGCCTCCAGGGGTCCAATCCCGGCTCTTTGCCTGCCTGCCATGGACTCTGGGGACATTACTCCACCTCCCTGCACTTTGCTCTTCCTGGGGAAAGCCAGGATGATGGCAGTGTGACCTCACAGAACAGCTACAGAATGGAACTAGACAATCTATAGAAAGTGCTGGGAGTGAACCTGGAACACCAGAAGGACTCAAATCTCAGTTGCCATTCCTACAACTGCGACAATCATTTAAAAGCCAGCATCCAGGACAAAACAAGTGCTGCCGCCCTGCAGCCAGCCTGCGCCTCATGAACAGTTATGCATCTATGTGGCCCTGGTCAGTTCCTCTTACTCACCTGGGGCACGCCCATGGCCAGCTACACTAGCCCAGCAGACCCCATAGGGAAGCAAGGGGGCCGTCTCAGCCTTCACAGCCAGATACCCAAGACACAGCTAGGCAGGCTGCCTCCAGCAACAGTGTGATGCATAGACAAGGGCACTCGGGGAGGGGCAGAGGCATGATGCCTCTGACAATGGAGTGGTTAGAGTCTACATGACATGGAAGGATAAGAATCAGAGACACCAAAGACCACCGAGAAAACCAACAGAGGGAGGTTCCCAGGCAGAGGCCTAAGAGAAGACGCCTCTCCCACCAATGGGGCAGGAACAGGAGATGTAAGGGAGGAGGCCAGCTGCGTAGGCTGAGGGACAGGGAAATGGGGGGTTTCTATCTCAACGCTTCTCCTTCCAGCAGTGTGAAGCGAGATAACAGACTAATGGAAAATGTGGTAGGACCAGAGAGAGATTTTAGGAATATGAAGGAGGTTATTTTAGGCAAATAACCATTGCCTAGAATATAAAAAAGAAGCTAATCCCAAGGAAATACAGAAACCTTAATTAGCAAAAATTTCCATATTATGAAATATGCCTTAAGAGTCAGTGTGTGTAAAGGTTAGGAAAATGGACTCTGGATCCACCAGCCTGGGTACATCCCAATTCCATTACTTAATACCTGTGTGACCTTGGGCCAGTTGCTTAGCCTCTCTGAACCTCAGCTTCCTCATCTGTAGCAAAAGAGTAATAATAGTCCCTTCCTTAGAAAGTTTCCATCTTTGGTTGATTAAATACAAAGAGATCAGAATAGTGTCTAGCAAACAATAAATGCAATGGGAGTTTCCAGGAATAATGATAACTATTATTTTTAATATCAGGCAACCTTATGATGAATATAAATTTCTCCTTCAATTTTTATTCTTAAGCAAGTTGAAGTCCTTATCTCTCTGCCTGTCTGAATCTGTATCCTGCTAGGAAGGCCTAGTTCATATTCCACGTTCTCTGTGAAGTTTTCCTTGACCACCACTAGCCTTCCTCTTCTTAATTCCTGGAATACTAATCATCTGCACTCCCACGTGTCCTCTGTAATACACACAGACCACCCCAAATCTTGCTTGTTTTATAGTTCAATGCCTTGCTTTTGTAACTGGGTTGGGATGGGGGATCTTACTGTGTCTCTGCCCACACTCTCAAGGTCTACTGCAATGTCAATACAACGCATACGGGTTGATATAAACCACTCCCAAAGCCCTTTGAGAACCATAACTCACCTGATGATTAAATTGTCCTCACCAAGGGTCACAACAGTGGCTTCTACAGCTTGGAGAGACATGAGTTTGGCAAGGGCTTCTGAGGTTTTGCTCTAGGAAATAACCAGAATGTGAAATGAGAGATACGGAAAGCAGACCTATCAAAACCCAGTCTGAGTCACAAGCGTCATGTTAGAGGCAGCTGGGGTGAGAGAAACAGCTGTAGAAAAGGCAGCTCCCTGACACAGCTGCACCGCACGATAAGAGGCTCTGCACATGGGTATTACTTACTGTCTACCACGTGTAGCCACGTGTGTCACTTCCACACACAGTGCCTGTGCCACCAAGGTCTGGGAATTACATTTCACACTGAAAACAAACAACAGTCTTCGCATTGACCATTTTCTTTAAGGTCTATCTAAATTCTTTTCGGGCCTGAGTTCCACTCTCTTAGAAGATACACGTTTCAGTGTTGGGGACAATGGAGGGTGTTAAAAATGGCATGACCTTGAGGCGGATGTATGGATTTCAGTACCAAATATATACTCAGTTTTGCACTAAGAGACAATGTAGGCTCTGAACCCAAGGCCAGGGTTCTTTAGTTTACACAATACACCTGAATGATGGTTTTAATAATTAACCAGATTAGCTGGGATTTCAGCAGTAGTGACCAATTTGGAGATTAGCGACTAGAGCACCTTAATTATATGGAGGTTTCCTATTTAAGTCAGTCTCTATGCTGTGTAATTAGTAATTCTAAACATGGTATTCAGAGGAAGGGAGATTTGTTTACTGAAGGAGCAGCTCTTTTCTGAACCTGAAGTTGCTGTTACCTTTGCCAAGTGTTCCAGCCACCGCCCCAGGGCAATGAACACGAAGAGCATGGGGGGCGTGTCAAAGAATGTCACAGGGCTCCTCTCCGCCTTCTCGGCCACAGCAACCACCAGGATGACCAGAGAATAGACGTAGGCAATGCTTGTGGCCAGGACGATGAGCACGTCCATGTTGGCTGACCTGTGTCTCAGAGATTTGTAGGCCTGAACATAGAAGTACCACCCACCGAGGAGCTGAAAGACAAGGACAGTGAAGGTTGCCGGCAAGCAGGGAGGAGAGTTCAATGAGCAACCCAGGGCTGAGGGCCCTTGGGATGGCAGAGTCTCCAGCTTTGTTCACAGTCTTGACATTACTTCTTCCTCTCTGATGGGTGTGTATGAAATATACTTTCCAATTCAGAGACCTACTGTCCACAGGAATGGATGACCAAGAGTATGTGAGACCTTTAAAACCCAGTGCATACAACACACATGTCCATTCATAAGAGAATGGTGAAATGGTAGGGAAAAAAATCACAACTCATTTATACTATGGACGATACAAGGCATTCCATTCCCTATAGAGAATGGGCTCTACCAATAAGCCATTGGCATAAAAGATGTCTATAATACAGGGTTAAGTGAAATAGCCAGTTGCACATCAGTCTATCTCATATGACCCCATTTCAGTTTTTAAAAATCTGTATCTGTGTTACGTGAACATATATGTAACATATACATAAGTGTGCATTTCCTCTATATAAAGATTTGGAGAGATACATGCCCAAATGCTCAACTATTAATATTACCATAGCAACACAGGGGAGTAAGATTGGGCTGCAGGCAGGATGTGATTAGTGAAAGGGCATCTTCTCCTTTTCTTCTTATACCTTAGTATGGTTTGAATTGTTTATAATAAGTGTGCATTATACTTATAATCAAACAAAATATAGAAAAACACAAATTCAGGCTGGGTGCAGTGGCTTACACCTGTAATTTCAGTGCTTTGCGATACTGAGGTTGGAGGAATGCTGGAGGCCAGGAGTTTGAGACCAACCTGGGCACACAGCAAGACCCTGTCTAGCCAGGCATGGTGGCAGGTATTTGTGATTCTAGCTACTCAGGAGGCTGGGGAGGGAGGATCACTTGAGCCCAGGAGTTCAAGACTACAGTGAGCTATGATCACATCACTGAACTCCAGCCTGGGTGACAGGGTCTCAAAAATTGACCCTGTCTCAAAACAAACAAAATCCAGCCTACCAATGCTTGCCCCCAAATAGCCCTAAACATTCCAATATAAGACAGGAATTTAGTTCTACATTCCAAAATATATACATAGGGGTCACACTTCCCACCAGACACAAAGCTAAATATCACCACCAAAGCAGACATTTCATGCCTGTCTCTTTTAAATTATAACTTCCTTGTAGATAAGGACCAGATCTCCACCTTTTGAGGTAGAACACTCAAGAGTGGCATGGGCTCAAGGATGATCCAGTTTCTGCTTCTAACAACAAACATAAATTAAGCTAAACAATGGGCAAATTGGAGACAGAGTTCACCACACCTTGCAGCAAGGAGGTTGCTATTCCAGGGACAGTTCTTATCACTTGCAGTCAACTGAAACTGACAGTGAAACCAGGCCCTTCTTAGTCCCCCACATTGGAGGGCCCCCAAGCCCCACCTACTGCTCATAAGAGAGAAAAAAAGCAGCAACCGCCTGGGTGGGGCAGGAAAGCTGCAATAAGATGCCATTTAAAGCTAAAGAGCTATGTTGGGGCTGAGAGGGCCATACAGCATACAGAGGAGAGGTCTGCCCACCTTCCTAATACACACCTGGACGAAGGTACACAGGATAAAGAAGATGAGATTTAGAATGGACAGTCCTGGAATGATGTTGTGGTCCAGGACCATAGACTCATGGGGCTCACTGCTGGGTATGAGCATATAGATCATTAAAGCCATGACAGGGATGCCAAACACCAGGCTGCACAGGAAGGACTTCTTCCACCTGAAAGCAATGTAGCAACACAGATATATCAGACACTGCTAGTCACCTGGATTACAGGCCAGTTCCCTCCTGAGGACTTGGTTTAAGGCCTGCCTTTGTCACATGTCTGGGACAGATCACCAAGGGCTAAAATGAAAGTCAGCTCTCTCTCTCTGGAACTGGCCATCTGAGGGAGCATCTAGAGATCTAAACATCACTAGAAGGAGGTGCCAGAGATGTTTAGGCCTAGTCCCTGCCTTCACATACTGTTATTACCTCCAATTTATAGGTGAAGCCACTGAGACTCCACAGCTGAGAATCTAGTCCCAAAGAAGCTTACCATCCTTGGCCTATGGTTGCCTATAGCTCTCTTTTCAAAATGCAATCTTATATAGATCCCAAAGAAAAAACAGATAAAAGCAGTATTTTATTAGAATAAACTTAGACATTCAATTTTTAAACAATCACTTAAAATAGAGTCTGTGAGACCAGTGAGGCTGTCTCAATGAATACCATAGTTTAGAATCAGGGATCATGGCCAATAGCTGTGGTCCCATGTTAGCTGCAGTATCCATGAAATTCCAACCAAGTGGTTGTGGAATGACCTGAAAACCACTGGCCTGTGAGGCTGAAGTCTTAGGCCGTTGGACCCAAGAACCAGACCCCCACCCGGCTGTCTAGATGCCTCTCCTGTCAGCTTCTCCTGTGTCCCAGGCATGCCAATTGGACCAAGCCACAGCAGTCTCCGAAGATATCCCCCATCAATTCCTTCAGCTAAGCAAACCTCCACTCATTCTTTGAGGTTCAGATCCTATGTCCCCTGGTTAGTTTTCCTAGGCCTTCCAGGATCTGCCAGAGCCATTAATTTCATTGCTCACTCACTGTTTCTTAACCAGACTATAAGCCCCTCCAAGACAGGGAAGATATTTATTTACCCCTAGCACCTAGCACAGTGCCCTGCACACAACAGTAGCCTTTATGGTGCTGAATGAATAAGTGACCATCTGAAACAATGAATAAACTCAGGTTTCCTGCTCCTGGGCCATTTTCTTTCTACTCAGCCATTATGCCTAGAACCCATGCAAATGAAGTCTGAAAATATTGTCAAAGAAAAAAATCTACACTCTCTCCCTCCCTCCCAACCGAAGTGCTAGCCAATCTGTTAGCCACAGACAGCTATTTAAATTGAAATTCCTTAAACGTTAAAAATTCATTTCCACAGTCACACTAGCTGTATTTGAAGTGCTCACTGGCTACATGGGACTAGTGGCTACCACACTGGGCAGTGCAGATATAGAACACTGCCATCATTCCAGAACTTCTCTTGGGCAACACTGTTTTAGAGGGTTCACATTACAAGGGTAAAGGCAGCTAATCCAGGAAGAAGGCACCGTGGGAAGACAGGACCAGCAGGCAGAGTCGGACCCGGGCAGAAGAAGACATTTAGATGAGAGCTAAAGTTTATCTTTTGTGTTCTACCTACTGCTTTATTTCCATCTTGTGGTCCAAGTGATGAGCGTTGGGGTTTCTCTGGGCCAGGGAAGCATGAAAGCCAATTTCCTTGTTATTAAAAAGAGAAGGGGGGGAAAAAGAGGAAGGTACTGGTTAAAACATGCATTGGTAGAAAGCACTTTTCAGCTTTGGAAATTAGAAAGCAAATCTAAAAGTGACTCAGAAGACTGTTGTGGGTTTTTTCCTCACAACTTCTTTACCCCATAGCCCTACAAACCTGGTGCAGAGGTTCAGCACCCATCTATGCCTAGAGACAACACCAGCCTGGAGAGAGGGCATCACATGGCAATTCCTCTGCCTTCTGTCAGCAAAGGCAGCAGGTTCCGGGAAGACAACTTCCCCAAACCCCAAAGCTGGGTAGTGCCGATATATAATTTATACTCAGCATTTCTTAGTAAAGAAATCCTAAATACCTAATGGTCAGGAACCTTCATTCCCTGTACGAGGAAACAGAAAGTCGGAGAGGTTAAATTCCTTGCCCAAAGCCCCAGCCTTATCAGAAGAGCTGGACTCAGAGCTCCGGCCTCCAGCTTCCAGCCCAGGCTTCTTCCTACCGCCGCCGAACTCGGCTCCTTCAACATCTGGAAGCAGCTTCTGCTGTGCCCCAACAGAGTCTGCACCACAATCTTGTGCTTTTCTCACAGGTTAACTCAAGTGCTTTGTCACCATGTTGATCTGACCACTACAGCTCTGATACTCTTTGTGAATACACACAGGAAAAACTGCCAGGAATGCTCTTGTCTGGCAGCACAGTAAAGACAGGGGCCCCAGAACTCTGGTGCTGGGACTTTTACACAACAATTAAAAGTTGGGGTGGGAGGAAGAGCAGCTGAGACTGTCTAAAGACAAATCCTTTTACAACTAATACCAGCCTAATTATATTAGGAAAAGATGGCCCAGAGAGGCAAGAATGGAGGCCAGACATTACCAATATTCCCCAAGAAAAATCAGCGAGGATGCTGCACCTCACTTAGCAGGCTGCGTAGGGTAGAAGTTACCAGAGTGAGGTATCAGAAATCAGAAAGGTCTGGCGGGGCACAATGGCTCACGCCTGTAATCCCAGCACTTTGGGAGGTCAAGGTGGGTGGATCACCTGAGGTCAGGAGTTCAAGACCAGCCTGACCAACATGATGAAACCCCATCTCTACTAAAAATACAAAATTTGCTGGGTGTGATGGCGCATACCTGTAATCCCAGTTACTAGGGAGGCTGAGGCAAGAGAATCACTTGAACCCGGTGATTCTCTTGAGGCAGTAATTGCAGTGAGCTGAGACCATGCCACTGTGGTCCAGCCTGGGCAACAAGAGCAAAACTCTGTCTCAAAAAAACAAAAAAGAAAGAAATCAGGGTGACTGAGCCATGTTCGAAGACACCACACGGGACTCTCCTTACTGTTGACTGCATTAGTCTGACATCTGAGCCTCATCAATGCCATATCACTACCGTTCTTTAAGATTTGTGGTGTAGTAGACACACACAGGCCACTGAGCTCGAAAGTGCAAGACGTGGATTTGAGCACCAGTTCTGCTGTCCATGAGCTGGGTACTGTGAGCAAAATTACTTAACCTCTCTGAGCATCTTTCCTCAGCTGATAAAAAAGTTGTGTTGTCTGTCTCCAAGGGTGGGGCCCTAGACCAGCAACATGATTATTTCCATGTCAAAAAGCTCTCCTGGGTCAGGCACAGTGGCTCGCACCTGTAATCCCAGCACTTTGGGAGGCCAAGACAGGTGGATTACCTGAGGTCATGAGTTCGAGACTAGCCTGGCTAACATGGTAAAACCCCGTTTCTGCTAAAAATACAATAATTAGCTAGGTGTGGTGGCGCCTGCCTGCAGTCCCAGCTACTTGGGAGGCTGAGGTAGGAGAATCACATGAACGCGGGAAGCAGAGGTTGCAATGAGCAAAGATCATATCACTGTACTCCAGCCTGGGCAACAGACTGAGACTCTGTCTCAGAGAGGGGAAAAAAAAAAGCTCTCCCAGGTCATATAACAGCACACACACACACACACACACACACACACACACACACGAGAAAATTCAGGATACTACATTAAGCCTGCTATGAGAAATTTCATTTCATAAGTAATTTTATAACACATAGCTCCCACTAAACTTTTAATCTTTACTAGCTGTTACAAGTCAACCTTGTTCAGTTTTGACTGCCTTAACCCATTTAGATCACCACTGATGCTCATTCTCTTATAGTCTAGTATCATATAAACTTTAAAAAGGAAATGGTATGTCTGTGGACAAACTGGAGAAGGAATAAGAGGCAGGGCATGTGTGAAAGTTCTCCCTGATTTTCCAAAGCAGAAATGACCAAGTTCTCCACAACAAGACTGCTCTGGCATAGTAGCAAATGTGGTATCTTTTTTTCCAGTGCCAACATTCCGTTGCTCTGCAAATACTTGGTTTGGGCATAAATCACCTTTAAACACAAAAACACCTTTAAAATTAGGCACTTTAACCCTATGTACAACATTGAGGTTTCTTAGGGAATATCTGAAATTAAAACAATAATAATGACTTTTCCTCATCTTCTCTTACCCATTCACTGATATCCTTCCTCAGATTATTTACTATTTACTTACCTTCAGTTTATTTTTAAATGACTGAGCTTATTTTCATGACAAAAGTTGAAGAATTTTAGGTTATTTTCATTTTTTCTTAACTATATTTTCTCATTTTTTTAATGATTATATATGACTGTTTTTTAAAAGGTGAGTACAATTTTGTAATGAATGACTTACCTCAATAATTTTGATAATATCCCGTGGACCAATAATTTCTGGGTCAAACTTAACAAGGGCTTTGCTGGTGGCAAGGGCAACGGAGGCATAGGTGATGCCGTTTGTCCTCATGAGTTTGGACTCTATGTTGTGGACACAGGACGCGCAGGTCATCCCTGTGATCTGCAACACAGGATGGCAAGAATCCCACAACCCCAGGATCAAGGGAAGCCTGTGAAGGGCCCTCAGGGGAGTCTGGGTGACAGGCAACCACGAGCCTTTCCCTCGTCAGCACCACCTCAGCACCGCTCCTAAGACCCTGAACTCCACCATCAAACTCCGCATGTGAGATTCTCAATGTTCTTCCAGTGGCTTCAGGGATCAAACAGTGGTTCTTCCCCAAAGCAGGTACTAGGAGACAGCCAATCATGAAGCAGATGGCAACAGACCAAGGCTTGATTTCCAGCTCTGATAGGGATGGGCTTTTATAAGCCCCTCTCCACCGTCTGTTACCTCACCGGCAATGCTAGGATACTAATGCCTGCATAGGGATGTGCACCTCTGTGAAACTCACTGTACTCCTGACATACTCGCCGTAACCCTGAGTGTTGCTGGCATGCGGTCTGCAGCTGCTGCTAGCATCCTCCCTACTTTAGTGCTCTGCTGGCTCCAAGGGTACAAGAGGAAGGTGGCCAATGGAGGAGATGTAATCAAAGGTGATCCCAAGGTATAAATAGGGGTGTTGACAAGTGAAGCGAAGGACACTACCAGAAGGAGAAGCTCGAAAAAGACGAAAGGCAGGACAGCACGGGGTGTTCAGGCAACCATCAAAAGCCAAGCTTGTCTGGGCACAGGATGTACAAGGGAATAAAGGGAAGGCTACAGTGCTAGGTGGGTCCACAGCCTGAAGGCTCTCAAGCAGCCAACTGCAGTGTTGCTAAGCTAACACTTCATGGGAAGTCACTGAGGGGTAATGAGCACTGGAATGACGTGACTGGAGCTCCATGCTGAAATTCGCATCAGTGATCCCAGAATAAATACCAAAAGAGCCAACAGTCCCATCTGGAATTAGGGAGGAAGAAGAGGGGAGCTCATCTGTAATGAGAATGCATTCAACTTGGCCCAAGACCCAGGAAATAATGGGAATACAAGAACCACCAGGCAAACTTAAGAGCTTACCTGTTGGCAGGTGACTGCCAACAGAATTTTTAAAATCAAGTCTCCAAATATTTCAATGATGCTTCTCTGCTTTACCTTGGTTTTTATAACAACAATAATAATAGGCAGCATTTGTTGTGCACTTGCAATGTGGCTGGTGCTGTTCTAGGCATTGTGCTGTTCAAGCCAACCCTGAGAGGTAGGTCTCAGAACTGCAGTACTGAGAGGCTTAGGAACTTGTCCAAAGTCACACAACCAGTGAGGGGCAGAGCTGAAGCACATTCCCAGATGGGCTGGCTCCAGAATCTGCTCCAAGCCCCTGCCATCTGCAGCATGAGGTGAGTCTTCTCAGAGCAGGTTCAGAAGTACCCCTGCAGCAACAGGGCCGAAACTTGAACCTGGCTTTTAAAGCCTATGCTGCCAGTGCCGTACGTACCATGTTGTGCATCCTTACATGGGAAAGGGAAGTCTTAAGTGTGACGTGCTATTCCTGGGATATATATTAGGCAAATATAGAGTGAATTAGACAATTCACACTTCTGAGTATCAGTGGTCAACATTTCCCAGTAGACTAATTAAATACAGAAGTTCACATAAAATGTGAACATGTGATGACGATGTCACTATTGACATAGCATGGATTAAAAAAAAAAACACTATAATAACAAAATACCATTTAAACGAAATGTTCACCTTTTCCAATAATCCTCTTGCTTAGATTTTCCACACAGAAGTCTGAGTAGGCAGAGATGTCCACACATAAATCCAGAGGTTTGTAGCAGAGACCCTGCCCCTCTTGTGGGGCTGATCCAAGCTGTGACTCAGCAAGTCTTAGCTGTGCCCTCCACACACAGGGAGGCCCTACCATAGCAAAGAGTTTGCTCCACAAGAACACGGCTTATCAGGAGCTCAGGGGCCTCTGTGTTCTCGACGCTTTCCCTTCAAACATCCACTTAGCACTAATGGCACTGACAAAACACACAAAGGAAGTAGAAACCCTCTGACCTGGGTAAAGCAGCATTATTCAATTCTCTGTGAGTTCTTGTAAGTCTCCCTTTGCTTACACAATAAAAGCTGTACAAAAAGTATAGAAGTGCTTTCAAACACAGCACCAGACACTTCCATTGTTTTCAATAATGTGTTGGCATGTAGACAGATGGGAAACAATACCTCCCCACCCAAAACACTGGCAACAATCACCACCTGGAGCACTCACCTCAGACAGAGTACTGGGGAGCACTTTGGCTCTCTAGACATCCATGCACTATAACAAGTCCTTTTCTCTTAGAATGGCACTTGCTACCACACGGACTTCCCTCTTCTGCCTTGAGATACTTGCAGGCATGCCAGCTTCTTTTTAGGCTTGAAGGACTGTGTTCATGTTCAACTCCCCCAGACCACCAAGCTCAGGGCAGCCCACCGTCTTTAATTCCTCTTTCTTCTATACTCCTGTAGCTCACAATCTCTTCCCCCTAATACCCTGAATATACTCAGTGGGATCCCCCTCCCATGACTTTTTAACATAACTGACCTTTCTTAAAATGAACAAGTCATTGTTGGCTTCAAAGGAAAGCGAAACAAACAAGATACCCAACAACAACAAACCAGATATGTACAAGACAGGGAAATTTACTAATCTCAAAGATGGATGCTGTCCAAAATGCAAATTGTCAGAAGCCTGTAACCCCATAACATAACCACCATACTTACAATCAGCTCAATGCTGCCATCGGAGCCTGTGTAGTCCTCCATGACTGCAGCCTCAAAGCCCAGGTCCTGGATGAGCTGAGCTATCTCGAGTGGCTGGACGACCTCTGGATCATACTTGATCTCTGCCTTTCCTGCCATCAAGGCAACCAACACGGAGAGAATACCTGGAACCATCAGGTCACAGCTGTAACACTGTGGGTGGGCAGGGCCTCTGGGATGACATGGTCAACATAACCGAACAAAAACACATCTCCCCAGAATCCTCTAGAACAGTGGTTTTCAAACATGACTGCACATGAGGACAGCTTGGAGAGCCTTCAACAATCACTATGTCTGGTCTCTAACCCACACCAACCAAAGAGTCTCTCGGGGTGAGTGGCAGGCATCATTTTTTTAAAAAAAAAAAAAAAGCTCCCCAGGTGATCCTAATGTACAGGGAAGTTTAACAACCACTATTCTAGAAGAACAATGCTTCTCAAACTTTAATGGACATATGAATCACTCTATGACTTTGTTAGAAAAGATTCTGACTAGTCGGTCTAGCATGAGGTTTGAAAGTCTGCAGGTCCAGCCAGCTCCCAGGTGATGCTCATGCTGCCAGCCCATGGACCACATTCTGACTCAGGCTTTAGAAGACACCAATGAAGCAAGGAATGTGGTCTGCAGTTATTGACTGCTGTTAGAAAAAGGAACAGCTTTTTTTTTCCCTCCAGACAATTTCCTACAAGGAAAAAATAAAGCATTTTCAAAAGTGGTTTTCCTTACTCTTTCATTGTTTCTAATGACTCAGGTATGAAAAAGAAATCCCACAATCTTGCTAACACTATTTTGTTAGTTTAAAATGGGAGAAAAAGTCTCATTCACATAAACAAAAGGAATGAAGTGCTTCAGAAAGGATGCCACATGGGATAAAAATGAGGAGTCAAGTCAGGAACAGAAACATAGGCTTTAGGATATTGTAGGCTAATTTTATGAGCAATCAGCCCATGGATAACAAGATATTAACATCTCCATCTGCTAACAGTCACTCTAGAGCTGCAGGACACTACAATACATAGTGAACAAGAGCTGGAAAAACATGTCACCTGAATTCAAGGTTGGTTTTAAGGGCCAGGGAATTCAAGCAAAAAGACACACCACTGGGGTAAGAAAAGAGAAAGTGATTCTGGTGGCAAGGTAGAGTCATAGTTAAGAGATTTTCCAAACAAAAAAAGGGACAGGATTTTGTTGTACTTTCAGGTTTAAAAGTATTGTAAATGCACTCTGGAGGACAAAACTTTAACATTTCCACATATTTCTGTCCTGTTGCTCCTGTAAACACTCTCTGGTTTAAAGGAACAACAGGGCAGAATATTTGAAATTGCAACTTCTATACAAAATGCAGGTTATTTATTCATTTTATAGTAAGGGGTTGATGGGATGGGAGGGAACAAAATATGGAATAATACTAGCACAATCTAATTGAGAAGTGTATCCATAGAAAGTACCACGACCTTTAAACTGGATTTTCCACAGCTAACTTACTCAGAGATACATTTTGTCTCAAACTAAATACTTCTTCATGAACAGAATGCCGGTTATACAAGGACATTAGACAAACATCTCTGCTATATTATGAAATTGCTACCTGATTATTAGGGCTATTGATAAACATGGTTGCTGGAGATTCTGAAGGGAGCAAACGAGGTCTACAGACAGCATTCCCAAGTTCAACATAGGTGTTCATCTCTTACCAGCTTTATTCTGCAGATTCCTTTCTATGGTAGATATGCAGGATGCACAGGTCATGCCTTTGATCTGTAAGAAGCACTTCTGTGGTGCCACTGCTCTGGTTGATTGTGGGGACTTTGCCAAGATGTCCGGGGTATGAATGGTAGGGAGCCCCCCAGCATGGGGAGCCACTTCCTGCACAGATACAGGTACACCACCTATAGTTTGCACCATGGAATTCCCAGCACTGTGGTTTCCAAGAGAGTTGGTGGAACAGTTTTCTAGGATAAAATGTCAGAAAATATTCAAATTAGAAGAACAAATAATACGTTTTTCAGAACAAGAGGTTTCAGGGCTCTTGGTGAGGGTTTGTGGTCTCAGCTCCCACCAAGCAGCATCAGCCCCTGGGCTCCAGTAACTACCCTGTCCCTCAGCCATCCTGGAGGAGGGGGCTTCCTGGAGTTATTAATCTCTGGAGTTCTTCCCATTGCCTATTTGGATTTCCAACTCTCCAACACCTTTGTAAATAGTTCCCTGTATTAAATCCCTCCACTGAGCTACCCTATAACTTCACCTTATCTTTCATTTCCTTCAGGAATACCTACTGTATGTGGGTGCTAGTGAGTCTAAGGAGAAACAAATCACGCTGGCCTCAAGGCTATCCTCAAAGAGCTCCTAATCAATCAAGAAGGATTGTTCAAATACAAACCAGCACACTAATGGTTTATTCTAAATTAAAGTTACCAGGTAAAATATAGGACATCCAGTTAAATTTGATTTTCAGACAAACAACAAATAATTTTTACTATATGTATGTCATGAATATTGAGTGGGACATGCTTATACTAAAAAACCATTCATTGTTTATCAAAAATTAAAATGTAACCAGACATCCTATATTTTTATTTGCTAAGTCTGATACCCAAAACACCTCTTGGGCTAAATACAATTCTCATAATCCTGTCCAATTAAAAAAAAATCACTATTCTTTTCTCTCTAGGTTTACTTAATTAAATCCAATTGTTCTGCAACATGTAGTTCAGTGCTAATTTGTTTTTACTGCCAATAACCTGATTGCACTGCTGCAAGACTAAACATCGCACAAAAACAGGCAGATGTTGACCCTATACTATATTTCTTTTGAGTACGGGATTTACTCTTCTGTTGTGTTTTCCTTATTGATTTTTGTTTTTAAAGAAACTCCTTCCTGAAACTTAGGACAAAAGACAAAGCACAGAATGTTGCCAGGCCACTCCATGACTGCCCACTCCCTTCAGCAGTAGGTGTGCACTGTGTACACAGAGAGGAGGCAGCAAAGACTCACAGCTGAACAAACTTCTCAAGGACACAAAACTTCATCTCAGTGGCCACAGGCAACAACAATGTGGGAAACAAAAGTCCAGCCAGCCCTAAGCACTGAGATGCCAGTGGGCTTGCCCATGCCACTGAAAGCAGCTCCTCCTAGTGCTGGGCCCGCTGCTCCCTATACTACCGAGCTCCAGTCAAAAGGCTGAGGAAGCCAGCCATGTCCTGGTCCAGTCCACAGAGACACGCACATGCAGGGCCCATGTCTGGGACCTAATTGGTTACAACACACCACCCACACACCTGCTCATCACAACACGTGCCCCTTCCATCCTTATCTTCAGCCTCTCAACCATCTCCACTCACCTATCACCCTCTCTATCCCTAATCTAAGCTACCAGTGGGCTTCACCCATACCATGAGCCAGGCTGGGGTCCCACCTTCCCAGGGTCCTGAAGCAGCTGCCAAGGCCTCCAATGGCCTCCCTTATTTAACCCTGGAAGATACAATTCAGACCTTGGCCTCTGCAGCTCGCATTATGTCCAGGATGACTAGAAGACCCCTCCCCATCCCTCTGCTTCTTTCCCATCTCACAATCCCTCTTCCTGGGTCTCTGTCATCTTCCCTCACTCAATTCTGCATTCCCAGGCCCACAGTACCCTCAGAATTCAAGACCCTCCTATCCCACTGTCCTCCAGCATTTCAGCTAGGGGCTCATCCCAGTTACCCCTTTCCTCCATGGCCCTCCCCATTACACACCCCTCTTGGTGACCCCAAGCTTGGTGGAGCTGACCTTCTGAATGTCTTTCAAACCTACCTCTTTCTCTCCTGCCCCTTTATCATTCTCACCTGGCCTCCTATGTGGTCTCATTGCCTCAATGCACACTGTACCCTGATACTACACCAGTCTTCCAAAATATAATCTGATTTTTTGTGCTTCCTCTGATTAAAACCCCGATGGTGGCTGAGCATAATGGCTTACGCTTGCAATCCCAGCACTTTGGGAAGCTGAGATGGGAGGATTGCTGGAGGCCAGGAGTTCAAGACCAGCCTGGGCAACACAGCAACACCTTGTCTCTACAAAAAATAAAAATAAAAAAATTGGTCCCAGCTAGTCGGGAGGGTGAGGTGGGAGGATCGCCTGATTCCAAGAGTTCAAGGCTGCAGTGACCTATGACCATATCACTGTGCTCCAGCCTGGGCAACGGAGCAAGATCCTGTCTCTAAAAAAAATTAGATTAAAAAAATTTAATTAAAAAATATAAAAACCCTGGTGGCTCCCTCACCTTCACCTCTGCTTATATTAATCAAATCGGGAGATAAAAATCTGATTTTTACCAGCCAGTCTCTAGGTGATGAGAATAAGGTCTGTTGTTTAGCACACAAATCTTTTGAGAAGGTGGTAATAGTTCTCTTGGTAAAAGAAGGGTCTGGATGGCCCCACAGTGCTCTAATTCAGTACACAGAATCAGAAGCCCAAATCCAAGGAGTTTAGCGTTCAACTACCTACGCATGGTTTGAATATATCCTCCAAATTTCATGTGTTGGAAACATAATCCCCAATGTGGCAATGTTAAAAGGTGGGTGCTTTAAGAGGTGACTATATCATGAGGGTTCTGCCCTCATGGATGGACAAATCCACTCATGGATTAATAGGTTATCAAGGGAGTGGCATTTGAGGCTTTCTAAAAAGACCAAGAGCCACCTACGCAACCATGTGATCACACTCAGCACCCCTGCCATGTAATGCCCTGTGGCACCAGAGTCCTCACTGGCAAAAAGCTGACAGAAGTGCTCACTACCAGATGTGGCCCCTCAACCTTAGACTTCTCAGTAACTTTAAAAACTAAATTCAGGGCTGGCGCGGTGGCTCGCGCCTGTAATCCCAGCACTTTGGGAGGCTGAGGCAGGTGGATCACTTGAGGTTGGAAGTTCAAGACAAGGCTGACCAACATGGAGAAACCCTGTCTCTACTAAAAATACAAAATCAGCAGGGTATGGTGGTGCATGCCTGTAATCCCAGCTACTCAGGAGGCTGAGGCAGGAGAATAGCTTGAACCCAGGAGGCGGATGTTGCGGTGAGCCGAGATCATGCCACTGCACTCCAGCCTGGGCAATGAGAGCAAAACTCCATCAAAAAAGAAAAGAAAAAAGATATTCCGTATCTTTATAAATTACCCAAATTCAGCCATTCTGTTATAAGTAACAGAAAACAGACTAATACAAAATCCCAACTACATGAAAAACAAAATCTAGACACTTGGAGATTGTATTTCCTCTATCCTAACAAATTTAACAATCAAGGAGTTTGCAGGATTTTGTTCAACTGCTGACATGGGAGGCAGGGAGCAGGACTCACCTATCCCACCACCCAGGAGCTATAAGACACAAAGAGAAAAAGAGACGAGCTCAGACATGCCTCAAACATACATCACTACATACCAGAAATGACTGAAGCCTCAAATCCCATGTCTTCTATAGCAGAGCTGAGTTCTTCTGGGCTAATTACGGAGGGATTATAAAGAACTGTTCCAGTCCCTTCGGCCAAAGAGACTGATATTTGCTGCACCCCTTCCCGCTGGGAGATCATGCCTTCGATGGAATGGACACAGGACGCACAGGTCATGCCAGCAATGGCAATCACAGTGGTACTGCACGTGCCCTGCACCTGGTTTCTTTGGGAGAAGCCAGGGGAATGACAACTAAAAGGCCCGTGATCTGTCCCACACCCTTCTGCTCCATCAGGAAGAGAAACTTTAAAGTTCCCAGGTGGAAGTGCTTCGATAGCCCTCTGCAGAGACACCGGGCTGGTACAAGAAGGGTCATACTGTACTTGGGCAGTTTTGTTCTCCAAGGACACTTGAATACTTTGAATCCCTGGGAGCTGGCCAATATTTTCTTCAATACTCAAGATGCAAGATGTACAGTGCATTCCATCTATTCTCAGTTGGAGGGTGACCACATGGTTTCCTTGGTTCCCCAAGGTCTCAGAATTATTAATATTCTGGTTAGCAGAAGTGAAAAGTCTCTTTGGGTAAGTGCTTTGTAACCGCTCAATATCAATTGGTCCCAGGCTTAAGGGAGCCACTTTGTTCTTGATGGCAGCCTCAAATCCCATGTCGTTTACATGGTCCCTGAGGTCTTCAGGCTGAATGAGATAAGGCTGATAGGTGATGACAGCCTCTTGGTTGCTGAGTGAGACTTTGACTCTCACTACTCCTTGCAGTTTCCGGACCTTACCTTCAATGGAGCTGACACAGGACTGGCAGGTCATGCCCTCTACCCGGAGCTTGACCACAGCCTCCTGGGCAGGCAAGGACCTTGAGGGCCAGGAGGCTGCCTTTCCTTCTGCAATGCTGGCCTCGAAGCCCATGTCCCCAATTTGATGACAAACCTGTTGTGGGCTCAAAACCGATGGCACATAGTTCACAGTGGCACTGCCTTGCTCCACAGAAACCTTAACACTCACAATGCCTTTCAAACTGGAAATCCTGTCCTCAATGGACTTCACACATGACTGGCAAGTCATGCCCAAGATCCTGATTGTGCTGGTCGTCACCTGAGAAGAAGGGCCCAGGCCATCCAGACCACCTTCATAGCCAACATTGTCAAAAGCAAAACTCTTCTTCATTGCTGGTTCCCAGGCACGGGTAGGCAAAGAAAGTTTAGATAACATCTAAAAAGAAAAGAAATAATATTTATTGTCCTTAAAACTAAATATTTTCTACAGCACCCCAGCTTGTCTGGCACTGAGAAAATGGAAAACAATGCCACTTGTGTCAAAACATCCCAAGGGTAGAAGAACATAAAATACACAGAAGGAAAGCTAAAGGCATCACTTATAAAATGAAGAGGTTCTCATGGGTTCCTTTGAGCTCTGAGAATCTGTGATTATGGATCTAAAAGCCAACTGTCTATCTTCCTTAGTGAAATGTCTTTCTCACAGATGTGGAGGATTCTGAAGGAAAGAAGGCAAGCATGACACAACTTTACACACGGAACGCAGCACAGCTGGCCTCCAGCAGAGGCAGAGGTCATAGCGGCCCACAGTGGGAAGGCACAGATATCCCAAAGAAGGTCCCCTGGCTGATACCTCCCCCATAGAACCTAGTCCTTTCAGCTCAAACTTTGGGGGTCCTGCTGAAATGCAAACCCCAGAATAGACAACACTTTACTGCTATATCTCTTTATTGGGGTATCTGATTTTCTTAGCAGAGGTTAAATGTACTTGATACCCTTTGGGTCCTCCACAGGGTCAGAATCCAAAGGTGGGCCACAGGCCTATGAAAAAGCTTTGGGGGTATGCTCCCTGGGTGAGGTTAAATGAGTACCTGTGGCTGAGCCGAGGGGCGGGAGGGGAAAGGCTGGAAGAGCAGGAAGTTGACTTTCAGAGGAACTTCATAGTTCTGCCCGTGACTTGGTGTCATCACCCTCCTCAGTGTTCAGGAGAGCTGTAGTCATCACCTGAAATTTCAGGTGCATCACTGAATTAAAGGACCTATTTTTGTAACGCACCACAGTACAAGTATTATTTCCTGGTTTCTACACAGAATGATGTGATCTCAGTCATTCTATAAACAAGCAAAATCTTCCTTTCACAGGCTCCTGGCCTACAGCTCTCTTAACTAGATGTAGTTTTTACACCAGAACTATTATGTGCTTCAGAAATTTGGGAACAGGCCTTTATACATGATATCATTAAAAAAGCACATTTCTCTCTACTTGTACACAATCCTGCTTGTCTTCAGATAAGTCTCCATTACATGGTATGATCTCCTCCTTTTTCCTATGCATAAAATGCAGACCTTGCCAACTGGCTTTTGAGCAGTTTAACAACATAAATGTTTAAATAACTTCTAAAATACAGACTATATAAATGTTGATTTGTATGTCTACAAAGGTTTGGGATTAATAATTATATAGAATTTTAAATATTCACTGTGACATTCTCTAAGAGAAAAAAGGGAATAATTAGGTAATTTTTGGGACAGCCATTCAAAAGAGATTGCTGAATTGAGTAAATACATGAATGTGTAACGATATTGTTGAAGGATGGTGACATATTCTGAGAAATGAGTCATCAGGTGACATCATCATTGTGTGACCATCATAGAGTCACTGACACACACCTAGCCTACGACACACCTGGGCTATATGGTATGGCCTATTGCTCCCATGCTGCACACCTGTACAGCGTGTTACTGTACTGAATATTGTAGGCAACTGTAAAACAAGGGTAAGTATTTGTGTATCTAAACATATCTGAACACAGAAAAGGTTCAATAAAAATATTAAAGATTAAAAAATGGTGTACCTGTATGGGGCACTTAACATGAATGGAGCTTGCAGGACTGGAAGTTGCTCTGGGTGAGTGAGTGAATGAGCAGTGAGTAAACGTAAAGGCTTAGGACATTGTGCTACTGTCAATTTTATAAATACTGTATACTTAGGCTACACCAAATTTATAAAAAATACTTTTATTTCTTCAAGAATAAATTAACGTAGCCAGACACAGTGGCTCATTCTAATCTCAACGCTTTGGGAGGCTGAGACAGGAGGACTGCTTGAGCCCAGGAGTTCAAGGTTACAGTGAACTATGATTGCACCACTCTACTCTAGCCTGAGAGACAAAGCGAGACACTAGCTCTAAAAAAATTTATTAATTAACTTTGGCTTGCTCTAACTTTTTTACTTCATAAACTAAACTTTTTTACTTTTGACTTTTTTGTAATAACACTTAGCTTAAAGCACAAACACACTAGACAGCTGTATAAAATATTTTCTCTCTTTATATCCTTATCCTATAAGCTTTCTTAAATTTTTTATTTTTTAACTGTGTAAACACTTTTGTCAAAAACTAAAACGCACACATTAGCCTAGGCCTACACAGGGTCAGGATCATCATATCACTGTCTTCTGCCTCCACATCTTGTCCCATTGGAGGGTCTGCAGGGGCAATAACAGGCATGGGGCTGTCATCTCCTATAACAACAATGCCCTCTTATGGATACCTCTTAGGACCTGCCTGAGGCTATTTTACAGTTAACTTTTTCTTTTTATAAGTAGAAGGAATACACTCTAAAATGATAATAAAGACTATAGTAAATACATAAACCAGTAACATAGTCATTTATTAGCAAGTATTATATACAGAATTGTATGTGCTATAATTTTATGACTGGCAGTACAGTAGGTTGGTTTACACCAGCTCACCAAAAATACATAAGTAATGCACTACTATGACATTACAACAGCTGCGACATCACTAGGCAATAGGAATTTTTCAGCTTCATTATAATCTCATGGGACCAGTGTTGTATGTGCAGTTCATCATTGACTAAAACATCATTATGAGGCACATGACTTTATAATAAAGATGAGTTGGTGTAACAACATTAAGAGACAACTGACTAGCCACCTCAGAAACTTATTTGGAAACCTATATGTCAAAAGACATTTCAGACAGATCAAAGATTAAGATGTAAAAAAGAAATAATAAAAACACCAGAAGACAACATAGGAGAATACCTATAATAATCTCAAAGTGAGAAAAGCCTACATATAACAAACAAACTAAAACAAAACCAAAAAAATCCAAAAGCTATAGAAGATTGACATAACTAAAAACAATAAAGAAAAAAAAGTTACTCAAATGAAGTCAAAAGATAAATGAGTAACTGGGGGAAAAAAGATTTGCTTCGCATAGCATACATTAAGTGCTAATTTCTTTTATACACAGAGAGTTCCTCCAAAAAAGAAAAAGGCCAAGAATCCAAACAACAAAGAAGACAGTTCATTAAAAAGGAAATGCAAGTGGTTTTTAAATATATGAGAAAATATTAAAGAGAAATGTATCATTTCAACCACACTATGGCACAGTGCTCACCATCTTCTCCAGCACAGAGTCCTCCTACATTGCTAGTGGGAGTGTAACCTCTCTGGAGGGCAATTTGCAATACCCACTAAAATTACAAATTTACAGTCGGTCATGGTGGCTTGTGCCTGTAATCCCAGCATGAGAGTACATGACTTTGGGAATCCGAGGTGGGTGGATCATGAGGTCAGGAGTTCGAGACCGTTCTGGACGACATGGTGAAACCCTGTCTCTACTAAAAATACAAAAATTAGCTGAGCATGGCGACATGGACCTATAATCCCAGTTACTTGGGAGGCTGAGGCAGAAGAATTGCTTGAACCAGGGAGTCAGAGGTTGCAGTGAGCAAGAATGTGCCACTGACTCCGGCCTGGCAAAAGAGCAAGACTCCATCTCAAAAAAAAATACAAATTTACGTACTCTTTTACCAAGAAACTCTACTTCTAAGAATTTACCCAATAAATATATTTGTTTATGTGTAAAAGGAAGCATGCCATGAAAATATTAAATGTGAAAGACTGGAAAATCAATGTTAATCATCAAGAGGCTAGTTAATTAAATTACAGTACAGCCATAAATGGAATAATTCAGCTCTTAAAACAAATGATGTGGCTCTGTATGTACTGAAATAAGCTGATATCTATCATACTGTTCAGCAACAACAGCAAGGCACAGAAAATACCATATATATAGTATGTGTTTGTTATCTGTTGCTACATGACAAAGCAAATTTAGTAGCTTACTAACAAGGGCTCACAATTTTTCAGTTCAGACAGGTCTTGGCAGGGAAAGCTTGTCTCTTCTCCATATAGCACCACTGGAAGTGGTCTGAATGGGGCTGGCAGTTCCACTTCCAAGAAGATGGTTCATTCATTACATGGCTGCCAAGTGAATGCTCTCTGCTGGCTGGGGGCTCAGCTAAGGCTCTTGACAGGGACCTGGTTCTCTTCCACATGGCTTCTCTTTATGACTACTTGGGGACTTCAGAACTTGGGGGCTTCTAGGTGTCATAATAGCAAACACTCCTCTAAACACATCTCAAAGTGCAAGCTCTTATACAGCCTCTGCTTGCATCAAACTTGCTAATTCCCATTGGCCAAAACAAGTCACATGGCCCAGCACAGTCAATATGAGCAAGAATTACACTGCGCTTGAATACAGGGGTGTGTAGTCCACTGAGAGGGCTACAATTCTATCAAAGTGCTAGCACTACCTGTGTGAAACAAAAGCATATCATACAAATGGATGCTTGTATAGGCATGAATTATCTCTGGGACAATGCAAAAGCTTGTACAAAGTTTGAAAAAGATTAGGCAGCTGAAGGGAGCCAGGTAGCTGGGATACAAAGAAGAGTTACTGTCACTGTACAACTTACTGTACAATACACACATTACCAAATTCTAAAAATTAATTAATTTAAAAATTAACATGAGCACAAAGAAGAATCAGAACAGTGATTTGATTGTAGTTGGTGTTAAATACTAATTTAATTAAAAAGGAACCAAGGATAAAAGAAAAACTAAGATATTCAAGAACATTCATTTCATATAGTACTTTATTAAGCAAAAACCTCTCCTTCTCATAAGAAAAATATAACCCTCACCATCTAGTTTGTTGGAAAAACAAATCCCTCATGATATACTACCCACCCACCCTAAATTTTTTGGTCCTTGCTCCAATTACAACTTAACAAACCCCAAGCCACAATAGTGGCTCTCTGGAGTGTTGATTCTATGTTTCTGCCAAAAGGGTTTGCAGAAAGCAATTTCTTATTATCAAACAATACTCAGAGGGCCCCCTTT